ACGTGAAACGCCTCAAAAGGAGCGAAGAAAAAGTAAAAAAAAAAAAAAGAAAGAAAGAGAAGAGAAGAGAAGAGAAGAGAAGAGAAGAGAAAGGATCGAGGAAGAGTGGAGGGGGAAAAAAAAAAAAGAAAATTCGAGTCAAGACCGAAGGTCGACGATGTTGAAAAATTCAGCGAGCTGACCACCAAAGAAACGCTCGGAAGCCGCTATTCAGAACGCGGTGAGGTTACAAGCTGGCCGAGAAGGCGAAAACGGTCTTTCAACGAAAGTAGAGTAGTACATTCGTGTCAAGGTCATTCCGCGATAGAGATTCCAAGCAGCCGAGCCCGGTGAATTCTAAGTTTACAATCAATATCGAAATACGCGAATGGCGCGTCGATATTGAGGAAACCATGCTGGCTACATTCCTCTGCCTCGTTCAACCAAACTCTCCAAGCTTTCGGCTTCGTTGGAAATCTCACTTTTTTTCACGGCTATATAATCGGTTTTTGCGGTTTCAAACGTTTTGGCGTTTCGCTATGTGTTCTGATCTCCGACACGCGAGGCCAAATACGTCGTGCGAAGATCGCGAGATATATTTAAGTTCGTTTTTTTTGTTGATTTTTGGACTTTTGGATCGTCGCTTGGAACGAAACAAACTATGTATTTTAACCGCTTGCGCTGGCAAACTGGTCCGCGGACCGTAACGAGCGACCGTATCGTATACAATAATTCGTCGCTTTCTTTTTCTAGTGAACTCGTCGGTATGATGTCACTATAGATAGAAATTATTAGGAAGTAATAAATTTACTACTTATTTTGCCTTTTGGATTGTATTTAAATGTACCAAAAAAATTCTCGATGTGTGTAGCACGTCATTCCAGCACAAGAGGTTAACTGATTGCGGACCATAACGAGTGACCGAACCGTATACAATAATTTGTCGCTTACTTTTTCTTTTGAACTCGTCGGTATGATATCACTACAGATAGAAATTATTAATAATCTTATCGTTTGTTTCGCCTAGGGTATCATTTGTTACATATAAGTATACTTAAAACTGAGAAAATGTTGCATTCCAACGCAAGAGGTTAATACTCGAAGAAGAAAATAATTCGATGAATTTCGATGAAGATATTAAGACTCTCGTGAATAATCTTTATAATAATAATCTTAATAATAATCTTTATAATAATAATTATGTACAGTAAATGGTCTTCTAGATACGAAATTAAATTTAATCTTTGAAATTTGGAAGGGGAACAAGCAGAGAATGCGGAGAGAGAGAGAGAGAGAATAGAAATACGTATGTTCGTATCGAGAACGTATTTAGTGGAAAAAACTAGGAATGATCAGACATCTAGGAGGAAACTAGGTAGAGTTTAAAAGCAGAACTGGTACGTTCCAAAAAGCGCGATACAAATTACAATGTCGTGGCGCGCGATCTAGTCCGCGCGCAAATAAATCTTCCAAGGATGCAGGCAACGATTTTGGTAACGCTCCAATTTCGAACGAGAAAAGCTCGAGAACCGACATGGTCCGGCGAGCTTTTCTCTGCTCATTGTTTTGCCGAAATGAAGCTGGCGCTCTTTCGAGCCGGCCGCGCGTGAACGACCGATACAACCTGATTGTCGCTTTTATTTATAGGAACACACTCACGTGCGAGAAAACAGGCCTAAGCGACAAAACGAGTTTACCCTAATAACTTTGAAACTATTTTCCGTTTCGACGTTTGAACGTTCCGAATACTTCAATCATTTTTCATTTTTCTCACTTTCGACTTATTCATCCTTGAATCGCAGAGCTTTGCACTTTCAAATTCTTCGGTATTCACGTCTTCGATTTTTTTATTAATCACTATTGCATTAACTACAGAATACGAAATTTCAAATCTCGAACTTGACTCCTTGCCTTACGATTTCCTTTTCAACATTAAGGAGCAAGTCATCACTTGTTGAAACTGTAAAATTAATTCAATAAATAAGTTTCATAAAATAGTTCTAATTAATAAATTTATTAAATTCAATGATATGATAATTCAAGGGATTCAAAGTATTGAAAAACATTATATGCAATTTTCATTTGTCAATGTTCAGTTTGATCAAATTGAGTTTCATAGGTTTGTCTTTAAAACGGAGACCTCAACTTGTATGTTAAGAACTAAAGTTAAGAGCCAAAGTCCGCGAAAACACAAACTTTTAACAATAATTACATTAAAAAATATAAAAAATGATAAAAATATAATTTTTAAACTGATTCATAAAATAGTTCTAATTAATAAATTTATTAAAATAAATTAAATGACATGATAATTGGTCATGGTCCTAATCATACTAAAGAAAAAGGAAAATTTTTTAATATAGTTAGAAAAAAGTTACAATAATTAATTTGATTCAATAAGATATAGTGTTGATAAAATTCAAAAAAACATGTAGAAATTTCTAACGTTAACAATATATCTTGATTAATTATAGTCAATGGTGAAATAGAAATTCAATTTATTATAAAGTCTCTTAGTGAAACTCAAAATCAAATGTCCAGAAATTAAATTCGATGATAAACGAATTGACGAAACGAATGTTCAAGGTCGAATAATTAATCTAATAATTAATTCAATAATTTCTATGAAATGTATAAGAGAATGTTTAGGAGAATTTATGAAGCCAATTCCCCCCTTCCCCCCCCTCGTATAGCATAGGGTACCGTTCGCCACGTGACATCGCGCCGCTCCACGAAACCGGAATTGCACGATGTTGATAAACTTTCCGATTTTGCAGTGGGGTACGACCTGGGTGGCGTGTCGACGTGCAGCAAGAGGGACCCGGAGCACGGGAAGAGGCCGACAGGTGGCAAGGAACCGCACTGCCTATACCCGGGTGACCTTTATCCGTTCACGAGGAAGCCGCTGTTCGTGGTCGTCGACTCGGACAACAGTTTCGTGTTCCAACAGATACCCCGTTACTTCGGGCAGCCGTTGATGGTGCTGATGTCCCCCCAAGACACGCCGCCGACGTTACGTGACGTTCGACACGGTGGAAGCCTGTTCACTCTGTTTCTCCACGCCCCCCTAGCCGCGTTTTGCCTTATATGCAACATCGGCAGCCTAGCCGTGCACCACTGGGAGCGATGCCAGCATTACATCGAGCGATTCCTCATCGAGGCCTGTCAACTCGTCATGCGCTCCAGATGTGGTAAGGATCCAGGACGTTGTTTTTTTTTTTTTTTTATCGCCCCTGACACGGCCTGGAAGAGCTCTGCTCTGCTTCTTTCTCTGTCTGTCTATCTATCTAACTATCTGTCTATCTATCTGTCTGTCTCTGTCTCTCTTTCTTTTCTAATTAGATAGGGAACGGGGGGGGGAGGGGGAATGGGGCGTGAATCGGTGAAACTTTCTTGGCTCTGGCTGCATTCGATCCCCGTGGACTGGGGGCGATGAGAATATTGCTTTTAGAGATTTATATCAGACGGGTGATCTTAGAATATTTAAACGACGGTGGAAGCTGGTCCGCTAAGTTGAGTCTCGGAACGGAATGGAAATCAGATATAGTACGCATTTCTTTTTTCTCTTTTTCTTTTAGGTGTGTGTGCTGTAGATTTGAAGATTGTAAGATTCTTTTTTTTAACCTCTTACGCTGGAACGACGTGCCACGCACGTCGAGAATTGTTTTTGTTCCAAAATTGTAATGTTCTTTTCTTAGTTTTAACTATATTTAAGTGAAAAAAAAAAAAATAGGCAAAACAAGTAATAAATTTATTACTTCTCAATAATTTCTATCCAGTCGTATGATATCGACGAGTTCAAGGAGAAAGCGACGAATTATTGTGTACGGTTTCGGTCACTCGTTATGGTCCGCAATCAGTTGCCAGCGCAAGTGGTTAAACAGGAAATTTTGTAATTAAACGACTGGTGTGAATAGTGTGAAGGTCGTTTAGATACACTGTATTGCTTACGCGCGAATGACTTTATTTCAATATCATCTATTTTTTTTTTTTTTTCTTCAAAGGGCAGTAATCGATCCTCGTTGAAGAGAGCGCGGGCTAGGAAAGACAAAAAAAAAAAAAAAAATTCTGCATCGTACATTTTTTCCTAAACTGTTAAAATGTTCAGTTCCAATCGATATTGAATTATACATCAAATTTACATTTTATTTTTTCCAATACGAATAATCAATGAATTTGATGGCTTTGAGTAGTATTCAGAAAGTATCGTAAGTATATTTGTCGAAATAAAGAAGACATTTTTCTCAAATAATTTATGATCCTTGAGTATTTCGTATGTATCGACATAACAATCTATTTAACAATTTAACAATCTATTTCTCTGAAAGAATAAATATATGTAATTTTAATAGCTCAATTTCATAATTTTAGAATAAGGGACTTTCCATTCAGTCCCACTTGCCAGACCTCATTGCCAAATACTGTTGATCCATGCATCAACTTCAAAAAATTAACTGTTTTGGTCATAGAATCATCATAGAACATCTAACAATTGTAAATAAATTTTAAACAACTAAATAATAATTATACGTCTACTATTATGTTGTTCAAAAACTTCGAAATCTAGATATTCGGAGGCTTGAATTTTTCGAAATTTAGAGAACTTACGAAATGCGTAAAACCTTTTCAAAATTAAACGATCCAATAACTGATTCCGTGACGAAGAGGTGTTAGGATGCATCGTAAGAATTCTCGATCCCAGTCCTCGAAAATCGTCCGGGTTCGATCATCGGCAGCCAGATCGCGCTAAAAAAGGATTTACGATTGCGTTTCGAACGATAAACAGACCTGGCCTAGATCCAGACCGTGTTTATCGCTGAACCGGCAATCTCGCCTCCTAGACGCGTGATCTAGGGTCGGCTACAAAGAGGCTTTCTATTGTTCCTCCCGCGACAGCGATATGTCGTGTGCGAGTTTTGAACGTACGAGTGGCTTCCTTTGTCGCAGGCTCTCCTCTCTTCTCCCTTTCTCTCTCTCTCTCTCTCTCTCTCTTTCTCTTTCTCTCTCTAATAGTCGCGTCGCGTCGTAAAGCTTCGCGCGGATACGTTTAATTCACTTCACCCTCAGAAAGTTTCACCGAAATCGATCGGGCCAGCCAGCTGGCTATCCAGCCTGGCGATAATTCGTTCGAAAGTTCGAACAACAACAGGTTTCTCGAGTAGCAGGCAACAACAGCAGCAACAGTAATATGCAAATTTGTCGGCCATATCTCTGGATCTGGAACTTTTGTTTAAAAGGAAGATTGTGGACGTCAGCTGGTGATTTCCAACACGGTGTGATAAATCGCGGAGGGGGGTTGAAAGGGGCGTTGAAGCAACTTTTTTCCTCGACACGAGCTGTGAATTCTGTTCTTCAACGCTGTGGTTGTAATAGAGAATTTGTTTGATTTTCTTTTTCTTTTTTTTTTGGATACCATTTCATTTTCATTAAAATCGCTAACTTGTAATGCTATGATAAACCGGTCCTTAATTTTATGTCGATTTCGTAGTGTAGAATCTCTTGCGCTGGAACGACGTCAAGAATTTTTTTGCTCCAAATTACAACATTTTCTCAGTTTTAACTATATTTAATGCAGTAAGTATATTTAGTGTGTTAGGTACATTTAAGTATAACCCGGGCAAAACGAATAATAAATTTATTTATTCTCAATAATTTCTATGCAGTGATGCCGACGAATTCAAAAGAAAAAGAAAGCGAAAAAGAATTGTTGTATACGATTTGGTCGCTCGTTATGGTCCGCAGTCAGCTGCCCAGCGCAAGTGGTTGGTTAATGCTACTACGCACGAAAAATAATTTTTCACTTGTTTCTTCATTTTGTACAATTGTGTTGATGAAAATAATCGCAAGCATAGTTACTTGGCTTCGATTATTAAGAAAAATTTTCCACTGCTTGATTTGTCTTTCTAGTATCAGTAGATCAGACTATATAGTACAAGTCACTAAACCTAAACCAATCGTCAATCAACGTCGTGTGATTTAGTATACATATGTATATACATATACTTTTTAAATCCTATTTAATTACCGAAGAGAAGTTATATTTAATTGTAATACGCACACGGTTTTATGTATAAAAGCATATTCTCTATTTGCAACACAAACTTCACGGTTATGATACCACAAATGCAGAAGGTATATAGCAAAGGAACATAATTATTATTAATTTTCTTTAAATAAAATACTAATCGTTTCTTTTTCTTTTAAATAAAAGATTCTTTCCCAAAAAAGGAATAATTCTTCTCGGACAGCGTTGAATCTCGAGAATCAAAAAAAAAAAAAAAATTCCCAACCCGAGGGAAAAGATTTTCCCCGCTAGGTTTTTCTATTTGGAGCAAGGGTTATCAACGCTTACGTAATCCCAACGAGAAGTTTCTTAACCCCTCCTTTTCGGATCGGGGTCGAGACAAACTTGTCGCGGACATTCGTAAAAATCACGAAAGTTCATTCGCTCGTAACTGGGGAGAAGTTCGTAAAAATTTATGAAGTGCAAAGGGACTGAGTTCTTGATAACGGAAGTCACCACGCCAGACTGACGTTCCCGATCGAAAAAAAAGTAAATCGAATTGCTCGAACGTCAAAATTTTGAAACGAAACGAACGAACGACGAGCGTGCAGTGCGTTGGAAAGGTCTCTCTACGGATTGTTTGATGTGCAGTTTACATTATTTAGTATTCGATTTTCTCTTAGATATTGAGATTATGTTTGCTTTTATTCCCACTCCCTCTTTTCCCGCTTTTTCAGAATTTGGAATAACAATTTGAAAAGAACAAAATAGAATAGCAAAATTGTGTGGCAAAGATCTTTTTAATTCAAGCTTCACAACAATGTAACACCTTTCAGTTACACTTGTGCTTTTATTTGTATTTGTTAATCACATACAGTGCACAGTAATTTTTATCTTAAGTCCTAAAATTGATCTTTAATTTTAGTCGTATCTTCTTTACTTCTTTCTTCCGAGGTCCGAGTAAAATATGTTCTGCTATTGATAATCGATAAAAACCTTTTTTTTTTTTCAAAAACAATTCAAGAAAGAGAATCAATTCGTATGCTCAGTAGTATTGTTACTTTCTCACAATTTTGTTATTTGCTATCCGTCACCTCTTTCCAAATTCCAAACAAACAAACAAACAAACAAAAAAAAAAAAAAAAACATACGCCACACACCTGAAAGTTGTTTCTTTAAAAAGAATATTTCAAACAACCTCGCAAAGATCCCCAGTTCCAGTTTCCAAAGGCCGCGAGTTCATTCGCAAAAAAGGGGGAAAACAGAGAGAGAAAAAAAAAAAAAGGAAAGAAACTGCACGGCCAATTGTACGCAACCGCGGAGGCATCTTTGCAACCATCTGCAACGCGTGCACGTATCGAGAAAAGGAAAGACCAAAGAAAAAGGAAACGAGAAAACAAAGAAAGAAAAAACGTAAAGTGAAAAAAGAAAAGTAACATACCAGAACCCCGAGAGAGAAAGAATCTTAGACCTGACCGTGCGCTTTTACCGGTCCACGCAGAGACCAGCGTGTTGCAATTCTTCGGCGACGATTTCCTACGACTGTTGCTGGTGCGCTACGTGTTCTGCGACGTGGTGTTGAATCTGCACCGGTCGTTCAGGGGTCGACAGCAGAGGCCCCGTTGTCATCCACCGTTGCCGGACGCAGAGGTCCTCGAGCATCCCACCCTTCATCATCTGGTGCTCGACCTGGCCGCCTGCCTCGACTGCCGTGACCACTTTCCGGAAAGCAACGAGCTCGCCTGACCCAGGCATCTTCCCTGCCCGGCCCCGCACGAGTCCACGTCCCTGTTGCCGGCGTACGGCCACGACTACGATTACGATTACTGTAACTACAATTGCAACAATAAAATCGTTACGCTGAGACCTCATTAAACCGCGTCTGAACGAAAACCAACAGAAAAAGAAAAAAAAAAAAAAAAAGAAAAGGAAGAGGATCGAAGGAAGGGGAAATTCGAAGAAGTACGTACGCGTGTATAGGAAAAATAGGAGGATAAAGAATAAATGGTGTGAGAGAAACGAGGAAATCCACGTGTGTGTGTGTGTCCACGTGCACGTGTGCATCAACGTCGCTCGATAAATCACGCTCGCGTTGGATATCGTCGACGCCGTCTCAGGGTAACCCGGTGTCGTGCCTCTCATTCGTCTCCTGTTGTCATCCTCGATCGTCTGGTTCGTCGGTAATGATCTCTTGATTCTTCCTGGACGGTCATTGTCGATCGAACGTTACGTTCGAGAAAGACAACGGCGACGCCGGGTAACGACGCGGTTTCTTTCTTTTTCTCTCTCTGTCTCTCTGCCGGTTGCACGTGGAAGAGAGAGAGAGAGAGAAAAATGCTAAGATACTGAAACAGAAGCAGAAGGTGGAGGAGAACGAGCGAAGAGATGACCCGCGGCTTCGCGTTCTCCTTCTACGAGGACTCGTTCTATGTTAATCGCGACACACCGCTGCCAGTTTTTTTGCTACGGACTAGTAAACGAAACACAAAACAGAGAAAAAAAGTCTATATATATATATATATATATATATATATATATATATATGAAATATATAATATATTCTGTCACTGCGTCGATGGTAAAAAGAAACAAAAGAGAAAAAAAGAAATAATAAGAAGAAAAAAAAAAAAGAAAAAAAGAAGAAACTCGAACAGAAAGGATGAATAATTATAATACGTGTGAAAGGGAGTGGGCGTTTGTGATGTCTCAAGTTGTATGTATAGACGAAAGGGAGAGTGAATTTGTACGCACTGGTGCTTTGTACGATTTTAAGAAGCTTTTAGCGTGTCGTCGAATGACTCGGTTCGAGATTCGTTTCTTTCCTCTTTTTTTTTTTTTTTTTTTCTTTTTTAAATTAAAGTTCACGCGAGGAACGTTATTTGAGAAATTTTTATCTTGGACCTCGCCTTATGTATGTACGCTCTCGCTCAAGTTTCAGAGCACTTTGTATTTTTAACATTCAGTATAATAATCTGTGGTGAATAATACGATTTTTTTTTTTCAATTGTACGTATTTGTTTTACGATAAAATTGTCAATATGTCACGTACGTCTTTGTATCAAATTTGCAAAAATGAAGTTGTATAAAATACTTTAGATTTTCGCAATTGGTCAACGAATGTCTTTGCAATATTTTTATATAACTAAATATATTATATAAATATACATATAATATGTATACATATGACTTATTGTATTATATAACTGTACATATAACATGTATAGTGACTTACTCTATTATGTAACTATACATAAAATATGTAGAATGACTTATTATATTATATAACTGTACATATAACATGTTCTGGCGCAGAACAGAACCCTCCGAGGCGTCTTGTCAGGTCAACTCCTACAAGCCTCGGCCCTGCCGAGAATTGCCANTTTTTTTTTTTTTTTTTTTCTTTTTCCGTGTTTTACGATTTTTCCGTTCGGTTCTCGGTTTTTTCGATTATTCGGATCGCAGGCCACGCACCCTTCCAGCCCCTTCGCTGTCACCTGAAAAAACGGCAAAACGAAGAAGACGAGAAGGCAAAAGAGATTGGAAAGGAAAGGAAAATTCGTCTCGCGAATTCACGGTGATCAGTCGATTTACAGAGAAATAAAGGAAACATTCGTTACTTGAATACGAAGTACGACGTTCGTTTGCACAGTTCACGGGCATCAAATTAGGACGTTTCTTCTAGCAGGAGCGTTTCACTTCTTCGAAATAAATGTCCGAATTGTTCTTGGTTGTACGAATTAATAAGTAAGTACGTAGATAATCAGGCACACGTAGTACAATTAATTTATTTAATTTATTTCATTGATTAGCAGTTTTCATTGAAGAACATGTTCGTACTTCCACTAATACGTAAATCTCGCGTGACTCGCCTCTCTATTTATACGTTGTCCATTCTAAGTATTGCGCAACTGACTTGACAATTTTTTTAAGTGGTCCTAGTTTGATGACCGAGGACTGTGGGAACCATTCGAATCGCGAATTGAGCGGCGCACTCAAATCTGTATCCAACACCTGTCACAAGAATATACACATATACGTACAAAGAGACATATACATACAGTGGCTCACAAAAAAAAAATACTCGAACGCTTATCGCGGCATCGTTATGTGACAAATTCGAAATTTGTGCGATTTTTGAATGAAGTGTAATATAGATGGAAGTTACGAGACATTTATTACAAACATATATATTTAGTATATATATATATATCGTGGATCGTCATCGCCAACTGTAAATGATAAATGTTGAAGGTGGTTCCACATAAATATCGAGGCTTACTAATATAACGAATAGTTCTACTTTTATATATTTGCATCGAGTGTCTTGCAGCTTCTACGCACAATTTCAGATTTGTTTCAAACAACAACAGCCAAGCCTCGTTACAGGTGCTGTGTAACGAAATTTCTATAAGTTTTCTATAAGTGTTTGAGTATTTTTCCTTTTTTTTTTTTCTTTTTTTTTTCGAGCCACCATGCACTATATACATACATAATATATACGCGTGTTTTTTATTGTAGAAACGCGAGTCTGAGACTTTGCGATTCTATTTTCGTTGGATGTGTCCGCGAAGTGCAGGTTTTCCGGCGCACTCTTTCTCTCTCTCTCTCTCTCTCTCTCTTTCTCTATTTGTTCTCATCTCGTAATCGTCACCCACGCAGACAACGTCTTTCTACGGTTCTCCGCCTCTTTACTTTCCTACCTCTCCGTTTGTTTCTCCCATTGTTATATATAATTCCTTCTTGCGCGAGATGTTTCCGGTTTCCCCCGACGAACCGGATGCGAATAATCTAGCAACGAAAACACAAAAAAGATTCACCAATTTCAGAAAACGATACACCTTGCGTACTACGTCAAACTCGCAAACATAAAACGTCTTGTCACGGTCAGTCTTTTACTTTTTTTTTTTATTATACACCGACCAAAATTCTGGAATCATTTCGCCAATTGGATTGTCTAACTAATTTTTTCACTAATTTGAAAAAAAATTAACGACATGCCATATTTCTGAATTTGTCATTTATTTACAAGCAAATTGCCGAAATTCGTTCTGAAACTGGCAACAATATTCCGATCAATTGTATCAACAGAAATCAAGAGAGTTAATATACGGGAAATTGTTTTGATAATTGGAAGATTTTCGCCAACAAAAGGATATTTTAATGAGAAATCACTTACATTGACTACCTTTTAAATCTTTTTCCTTTTTTTTTTTTTTTTTTTTACTATTAATGAGATGTTACTATTGGATCGATGAAATGTTACTTTCTAAAGTCCGAGCCATAAATCATGCATGTCCAATTTGAAGAACCACGGGGCATTGTAACATTAAATTGTTCTGTTGCATGAAGTTGAATTTAGAAAAAATGCCCGACGTGAATTCGAGCATTTGCGAAGAGGGAAGATTTAAAACTGCAAGAAATGACGACAGTTTCGTTCCACGATCTTTTGAAAATTCCAAAACTGATCTGGAAGTGAAACCGTGGCGAGAAAATTCATCGAGTTTTATATACACTGTATGCAATTGCAGTTTCATTTGATACGCACCGACTTTTAACGTATCTCTCACTTTGTATTTACTTCACCTTTGGTTTCCTTTCTCTCAATTTCCATCCTGACCGTTTCACGCTTCTTATCGCCTCTTCTCCGTTCGTTTCAATTTTCCTGTTCGCGGCTTTGCACCACGGTGTGGCCCGTCGACGTCACACAGTGCCAATCGCAAAGCTCGTTTATTTATAAGCAAAAAGTAGAGCGGCCAGAGCGCGAGAAAGAGTGGCTCTCATTGTGTTTCCGAGGCGACGACCCGCCGAATTGAACTTGCTCTCTCCTGTACGACGGACAATTTAGCTCGCGGGACGAGGGCTAATTGTAAGAATCATAGTGGTTACATGTCAGTTCGCTGCTGTAGCTCTCATAAAATAGCGTTCCGCGTTTGTCAAAAGATACGGTTATATTTTTCCATGTCAGAAAAAAGGCACAGAATGCATATAGTATGCAAATATATATATAAAATAATTATATATGCCAAAGTATAGCACCAGTTTATGCTGTTTAGTTTGTTTACTTTTCTTGCATCTATGAAATACGAATTCGCAATTGTGACCTAACCGAAAAGCACACGATTGAATTCAAATCGTTTGAATTGAAACGTTGACTATGTACATCACTATGATAGCGGTAGAAAGAGAGACGAAAATGTGAAGGTAATATCAAGGAAGAAAGAAGGGCGAACAGGCCCAAACTGTGTATGTGAGAAATACTATGTAAAAGATTTTCGCGAGAAAACAAGAGGGAAATTAGAGGAGAAAGGAAGGTGAACGAAGGAAAACGGTGAGGGACAATGACTCGAGAGTAGAATAACAGCGGTATTCTCAGACAAACGTTCGTCCATTGTTACGTTTAAGAAATACAGGGTGTCACAGACTTTTTCCACAAAACGAAGAGATTTCACGAATAAAAGAAACAAAGAAAAAAGTATCACAGTAAACACGAGTTATTTAAAGAAAAAATTCTAATAAAAATACGAAATACATGCATACATACATACGATAAGGAACTGACTTACTATACTGTAAGACAGAAATAGGTTTACGATCGGCATATTAGTCGTTGACACCTCGTTCGCAAAGTGTTCGCCAGTTTCGTCAACTGAGAAAAGTCACAGTGATCAAACATTGAATTACTTATAAAGCTCCATTGAACCAATTGAAGCAATCAACTCTTTGCTCACAACGCGTATTAATACCTGTTTGATCTTATCTTCCTTTTTCTCGAAATTGTCTGTCATCTTCCTTGCATTTCGTACTTTTAGCCACGAATTTTTTTGCGACTCACGTTCTTTTATTCGTAGAATACGGATAAGCTTGTTTTATGAAAGAAACCTGAGACACGCTGTATACACGATTCGCGGTGCACTGTATTATAACACACACACACACGTACACACACACGTACAAACACACACACACACACACACACGTCTGTACATTCTCTATGTTTTGTAAGAAACAAAAAGGAAATAAGGGAAAAGAAGGAAAGCGAGATCCAGAAGAACGTATCAAAAAACGTGCGTGCCCTAACATCGCAGATACAACGATTAGGGGAGATCCTATATATTTACCGTTTATAATGTCCAGCGAGATTAAACGAGCAATTTATCCGATCTCATATGCCTGATATCAGAGACCATGCGATTGTCGACCTCTACGATATAGTCCTTTGGTTCTTGGGTGTTCGTCCTGTCTTTTAAATGGCAGAGTTCATTCTTTTGGTTTTTCACATCTTGCTGTGAATTCCAACGATCAACTGCTTTACTTTATTGCACACTGTGTATTATATTCTTGAAAACATTTCACTCTTTGTTTGATTGTCGACGAGAGAAATGAAAAGAATTTAGAGAAGTTTTTGAAAAAAAGGGTTTATAGGCCTATAGTAAATATATACTACCGGCTATATTAGGATACCTACTTGTTACATTTATTGAAATACTCTGGAAAATTTTGGAATTTATTTTACATTACAAGACAACTATATAATGTAATGCTAGACTTATACACAGAATAATTAGTAAATAAGAGCAATAAGAAAACATTCAATCGTATACTAAATATCAGGAATTCTAATATTTGTAACTGGTAGTATGTACGAGTCTCTTTTTATATATAAAAAATGAATAATGTTTTGAATTATCAATATAATTTTCCTTAGTATAAACGTTAACTTGAACGCTGATATTGAAAGACCGGTTTGTTTCAAAGTTTCAGTCTTATGGACCCTTTTTTCCAGAGAACTTCTTAATTGTAGAACATTTAAAGATATTTAAGATTAATATACAAAGAAATTACAAAGAACAGTAGTTAAGTGAGAAAGCATATTCGATGACATGATATCGCAAATATTTTTGCACACAATTGGCGAACACACGTCTCAAGTAGAAAATTTCTAAACATCTTCCCACAATGTTGTATAAATGATATTTTGTAAATTAACAAGTAAAATTTCTATGCCTTTCTACACAAGGTGTTTTATAATATAGAAAGCTCTAGAGTGGTAGGTAGAAAGCACGAAGAAATGAGAAAAGTTTGCATTAGTACGTGTTCTGTTTGACCTTCTTCCCAAGTCATAATTATTTTCACCAATAACGTGCAGCTGCTTAACCATATAGGAAATGCTTGAAACGGCCACTTTCGGCCTAAATTCAAGTCTAGGCTGCAGTTGTCGTGTTATAGCGTCGTTACACTGGATTGTGTAATTAGTGCTGAAAAAAAAAAAAAGAAAAAAAAGTACAATTCATTTCCTCTTATAATAATAATATAACTTACGATTGTGGTCTGATCTTTGGGTGTATTGGCTCATAATCTACGCGTTGAAAATTTTTCAATGTTTCATATATTAGATTTTTACATATCTTTAACAGAATCAATTGTACTTTTTCTAAATACCTTGCTGAAATCAAATATGTTATTAGATTGCAAATATTTGATATACAAAATTTTCCGGAACCAATTAGTGTTGTACTTTTAATTTCTTTTTTTTTTTTATAATAATGGAAATACAAATTTCCACGAATGTTCGTAACGAATGCTCATAAGCAATTTAATATAAAAATGGCTAGAACTTGAGGACAAGGTCGAACAGTATTCACACTTAGGTCAACCTTTGCTCATTGTTTTCACGACCCACGTCCACCGTTGAGGAAGGTTTCACGTGTTGCAAAACACCCTTGTATCATTGTTAATTATAGTACGGGAACGATAATAAATATTTTTCTCACTTGACATTCTATGATAAACCAAAATAGCAGTATACTTTCGAAAATGTTTAGAACTTGCTATTAACTCGAATGATGATTATTCACGTTACGACACTTTCCTTTTTTTTTTTTTTTCTTTTTAATTATTATAGTTTTTACGATGTTCACGCGTTTCTTTCACTGAAAAAAATTGATCGCAGTTAATTATCTCTCCAACAAGCTGTTACCAAGCACTGTTACCAAACAATTGTTAAACGAATTGGCTGTAAAATTATACCAAGGGGCGACGTTTACACCCGTAAGCCAGGACTATCCGTAGAATGAGCCAAACCAGAGCCAAGAGAACCACGTTAGACCTACATAGATCACCGTATTCGCGACTTGATTTTGCCCATTGACGGAAACACGCGAGAAGGAAACGACGTGGCCATATGGTCGAGTGCCAAGTCGTGATATAATCGACGAAATCTGCTTCTTTCTTTTCGCGAGAAATGGAGTACGAGTCACAGTTTTCATCTTCAACGATCCTCGACTTTCGATCCCCGGCGAAATAAAATTCTATTCGAGTTGCAATGTAGCGTGGAACATTCGATTATCTTTTATCAGTCTTTTGAGAACATTATTTAAATTTCTAAATTTTAAGAAACGCATTATTTAAATTTCTAAATTTTAAGCTTTTTTCAAATTTCAAGAAACGCATACGTTCGAAATTTAAAAAAGTCTCTTTTGTCGTTAGTTTCGAACGGACAGTGGTAAATTGAATGTCTCTCTTCTCAGAAGTATCTATCCTCTCGCCAGTTTTTTTATATTTAGAATTGAGTTCGAAAAACTTGCTTCGATCGTGCACAGTAAATAACTTTCTTCTTGAATTTATCATCAAATACTTTTTAATTAACTATCCCGATTTTCTCTGATAAATTCACATTTTGCTCGATAGGATTACACTTAAAATTTCGATTTTCAGTTCTAAAACAGTCGAATCATTAGCGGATCTAAAAAAAAAGAAAAAAAAGGAGAGATAATGTTGAAAAAATAATGATAATTCAGCTAAGAACAAGCTAGAAAGAGAAATATCATTCGATTCAATTTTCAATTTACCAATTTGGTCCTGACAGTATCATATAGTTAGAATATTTTTCCACGAATCTGTCGAATTATTCTCCTCCCATAATTACAATGCAATACCTATGAATTTCTACGTTTCTTTCATGAATCACACGTTACTAGTCGTAAATAAGCATTTGTTCGTCTGGCGAACGTCGATTGCGCTTCGTAAAAGATTCTGGATCGCTGTTTCGTTCGATTAAACGTTTTGTTCCTTCATTTTGCGCGGCGGGGTGGTTCTGTTGGGTCTTGTGTTCGTTCACGCCGATCGTTTCGTTTGAGTTTCATCGGATCGGACTGTTTGATAGATGCATTAGTGGATGAATCCGTGTTTCGATGATTTTTAAGAGAAAAAAAAAAAGAAAAAAAAAAGACGAGAATGCGAATGGGATATTGTAAATGTAAAACGAGGAAGTGCTTTGTCAAATACGTTAAGGATCTATTGTAAAATATTATGGATAAAGTGCGTTTTAATAATTCTGAAAGGGAAAAGAAAACTGTAAAATATGCGAGTTTTTGAATGATTTCATTAAAAAAAAAAAAAAAAAAGAAAAAAAGAAAAGAAAAAAAAAAGCAACGGAACCCTCCGACACACACAGTTTGAGAAACCGTCAATTCAAGAAGTTCGAGATTGAAATGAACGAAACAGGACAAGAGATAGAAACAAGGTATCCTTTCTTTAAACGATCGGCGATTAAACTGACCTTCGGTTTTTTTAACCCTTTATAACCGGAAACCGTTCTCAATTATTGGAAAAAGAGAAACATCACAGTAGTATTAAGATTTTCACCCTAGCGACAAATAAAGAGGATATCATTCAAAAATTATACACGTACGATTTTTGTGTTGCATAACGTTATAGAGGGTTAAAAAGTCAGTCATCTTTTTATCATTCTTTTCCACGGAAGAAATGAAACGTTGAATGAAGCTATACGTATGTATGTATGCATGTATGTATATATACACGTACATACATATATATATATATGTACATAGAAAGCTTAAAGTGCATCCTAAAAATTCGTCTTTCTAATGGCTGAACGAACATCTCTCTTCGATTCACACCTTGAGATTCACGATTAAATACAAAGAGTTAATATTTTTGACATTTCCTTGGAATTTTTCATCCCTTAGAAAAATCTTCAAACGAATCGTAAGAAACGAAATAAAAATAAAACAAGACCGAAAGTGAAAAAGAATTGAAACATACGTACAAAAGATAAGTTCCTCAAGTTCGGTAACACTTGCCAGCCAATTCTTCATCCTAACGGTTGTTACCAGTCTAAAAGAAAAAAAAAAGAAAAAGAAAACTAAAAGTTCGAAGAAACTAGGAATTCAAATTCCCGCTCGCCGAATGTTTGCCCGTGTCGCGCATGCGTGGCACAAGTGCAACCACCGTCAGGTGGTACATTGATACGCGCGTGCAGGTGAATTCCGGCCGGCCAGAATTAATAGACATCCAACACGAAATGTTTCTATAAATAATCCCGTTGTCGTGTTGCGTAGATGGGCCAGAGAAGGTACAGAGTCGCCTAGAAGCCGCTGCAGTGGCGGGCTGCTCTGGGTGAACCAACTCTCCTCTCTCTCTTTCTTTCTCTCTTTCTCCATTTTACAATTTTCCGCCCCTCTGTCGGCCCTTCCCTTCCGTGTACTCACGCAACCGGGTGATGTGGCGACGTCGCGTAACATCGGGTCACACCTATAACCTTGCCGAGAATCTCGAAGCGGCTACGTGAACCCGCGAACCCGAGAGAGCGACGAGAAGTCCACTGAGAAACGGAACGGCGGTGGAGGAAAGGGCGCGATCGTGAAATAGACCAGACGCGCTAGTTCGAATCGGCGATCAGGTAGGTAGAGAGGAAGAAGAGACTGGAGGTGGACAAGTGGAATCCCAGGGGGTGGGGATGGAGCCGGAGCAACGTGGACGCGCCTCACGAGCGTCGTCGACGTCGAGCCTCGGCCGCGAGGTCCGTTGTGGCTGTCAGTACTACCAGAGCGACTCGCTTCTGCCGGAACGACGTGCTCTCCTCGGTAGACCGCCGTCCAGGACGATGCAGCAGCCACTTGCGGTCCGCTGCAGGTCAGTAACAAATCATCAGGCCAAACACCATTTTATTATCCCACTGCCGACTAACTGGCGAGATGTTGGAGTTTTGCGTTCATGTACTTGGAACAGTGTTCGAAACATCTCATCTGTGGTATTGATAGTATTTCTATATTAGTATACATGCATACATACATGTCATACGTCTATGTTTAATTATATATATATATATATGTACGTACGATATGTATCTACATATATGTCCGGTTAGGTTATATCTAGCTCTCCGCGTATATATGTGCACGTTAGGTTAGTAACGAATGCCAGTAATTCGGTATCCAGGCCAGTTCATTCCTTTTCCAGCCCGAGAATAAGTGAATATCTCTTCCGATAGGCATTCCTCATGCATGGATAGCAATCGATGTTGTATAGCTTACGCGTCTCGATTATGCCAGCGTACCGCCACAGCTATTTAAGGTTCGCCCGGCTGGCTATAGATAGAATCCTCGGTCAGCTCGGTTCCGTGTCCAAACTCCTCTCGCCATCCCTCTCTCTATCTTTTCAATGATGTATACCTACGGATGGAGACAGCGTACGATTGTGTATGATTGAAAATCTAATTGTACACGCTTGTGCATGAATGTACATACATTGCAGGTGTATATACGCGCATGTGAATGTAAATAACAACATGCGGATGAACGAGATGATTGCGGGTGCATGCATTTTCGGCGAAAAGTCATTGATAAATTTTTGTACAATATTTATAATAATAACAATATTATTCGTTTTAGAAAAATTATTTGCAATTTTAAATTTTGAATTTATGAAAATGTTACAAACATTTTGTTGTTAAAATATTTGTTTTAGGTTCTGTTTTTAATTTAATTTTATTAAATATTAATTTAAAAATAGCTCCAGCCTTTAAAAATAGTTGGATAAAATGAGACTAATGTTTAAAATTAATTCTCAAAATTCAATTCACGTCACAAACAAAACCTTCTTCTCTTAATTATTCTCTTTTTCCACGGTTATTGAAGGGAAATAAAATTATACGTGCACATGTATGTATGTATATGTGCATAGGATAACTTGAGGGATGATAGCGAGCGAACGACCGCGATTCTAACCTACAAGTTTGAATCCGTGGAAGGGATGAATAGACACAACGCGATTAAGTGGGCATCGAGTTATTGTATCGCGATAATGGGAGCACCAGTATCGATGATCGGTTCGTGGAAAGTTGCGATAACGCTCGACCAATCGGGACGGAGATAACAGGAGGATTCTGTGTCGAGGATTCTTCAAAAAGATGACAGGGGGTAACATACTTGCGCTGGGTGATTTTTCGATAGGTTGCTGAGCGGTATCCAGAAAAAGAGAAGAACTGTGAAAGAAGAGAATAATCATCAATTGGGGGGAAAATAGAATTTTATTAAACAAACTGAATTAAATTAAACAATCTTCTAAAGTAAACGATTTAACAAATTTAATTTAGATGAAGTATAAACAATATCAAATTGCTCAGTTGAACATTTGAGGTTTGAGGTCTGTGGAAAATTATTGCGAGTATTCAATTTAATATAAAGGATTTATAGCCAAATTTTCAGTTAGTATACCTCTATTTTATAACACAGTGATTACAACGTTTCAAAGTTTCAAATGATCTATGTTTGTGTAATATTCATTATATCTATATATTACATTAACAAATATAATGTATTAACAAAGTTTGGCTCTCTGTTCGTTGTTCCAAAGCATGATTAAACTCAAATTGATTATTCAGAAATTTAAAACAATTATAAAGTAGAATTTAAGAATTAATTAATTTTGTTACTCTAACAGTATTCCTGTCGTCCTCTGAGGATATCGTATCTGAATAAGGATACGTGACGTGTCTTCCTTCAACATTACCCTCCTGAATAAACCGTCTGCAAATTATCCTGTGATCGAAACACGAAACGCTCTAACTCACCGCTGGAAGTCTGCCGTGCGTCCGACCAGTGCCTACTTTTTCCACTATGGCATTCTGTTCCAGTGAAACGAGCATGGACTAATCAAATCTTGTTTCCCGACGTTTGCTCAATAACAAGACTGACTGCAAAGCTAACAGTATTCATACTAATGGTACAAACGTAGTCACGCTCAAGATGAAACGGTATAACGTTAATTTAATGTAGTTGATAAGTGACTTTTCTATCGATAATCAAGCACCTAACACTCGAGATCGTAGCACGAGAACTAAGTAAAAGAGTTGGTACTGTAGCCAAAAGTTAGACTGATGATTAAATCCAAAGACTTAAGTATACAGCCTCAAAACCTTGAAAGCGAGTCGAGCTATCACAAATTATTAACAAATATTTCTGCGAAGATCAAGAAAATCTAACACTAACGGAGAAACAACTAAAAAGACTACTATGATATATACAAGTGATTGAACAACACCGGAACCATTCGTTACTCCCTACAAGAATTACTTCCTCAGAAGCTAACAAAATCAAAACTGCGGCTCGCAATTCCAAAAGTTAACAACATCCAATTTGTCGATTAACCATTTGTGCAAGGACTAATCTCGAAGGAAAGAAGGATAGGAAATAAGGGGTGGAAAATGCCGGTTAGAGCGAGAAGAAAACGAGTAACTTTTCGTAACAGCGAGCACGAGTACGAACCGATCGCAGCGCCGTCGCCATCGCCGAAACCGGCGACGGCACCGGTCGTGCGAATCACCGATACGGATGTGGTGCCCGTCGCTGATAGCGACGACAGCATTGACGACCGGACACGGCTGCCGCCGGAGCTGACACGGGCCGGTGACGTGATCCTGCCGTTGGATGGCAAAATCGAGGACACCGCGATGGAGGGTCGCGAACTTGTGGAAACCGGCGACACCTCCGAAGAATTGGAGACCCCGCAGCAATTGCAGGAGCGACTCGAAGAACGGTTTCTGAACGCTGCTACACCGGGCACTGAGTCCAGGACTGATGGCGAGGTCAACACTAGTCAAGTGAGTCTTGTCATCTCATTTTCTAATCACCTTTGTATGATTCTTTATTTTGTATAAGTTTTATATTATATTCTATAATTTATACATTATATAAATTATTTAATACATATATTTAATTATATAAATTATTTATATTTTATAATTTTTATATTATATTCTATGATTTATATGTTATATAAATTATTTAATACGTATATTATATATATTAAATAAATTTAATGTATATCCTTTAATATATGTATTTAATTATATATTATATAAATTATTTATGTTTTATAATTTTTATATTATATTCTATGATTTATATATTATATAAATTATTTAATACGTATATTATATATATTAAATAAATTTAATGTATATCCTTTATACATGTATTTAATTATATATTATATAAATTATTTATATTTTATAATTTTTATATTATATTATTCCTTTATTTTCAAATGTTATATAATTTATATATATATCATATATTAAATAATTATAAATTATAAATAATATATATTATATAAATTATTTAATATATATATATATTATAAATATTAATTATAAATAATTTATATATTACATAAATTATTTAATATATATATATATATTATATATTAAATAAATTTAATATATATATTTAATTATATATTACATAAATTATTTATATTTTATAATTTTTATATTATATCCCTTTTTTTTAAATGTTTTTAGCATGTGAAGTGAATTATTATTAACTTACAATTAGGGGATATACAGCACACATATTGAGGATTGTTGGACACTGAGAAGGCAATATTATTACAATAACTTCCGAGCTTTGTTTTACCATTCAAATATTCTCGAGTGACATTAATCATGATCAACTTTCAAAAATACCGAACAGTATTTGAATTTATGTTATCTCAGTATCTTTTAGTTAGTGCCGCTAAGTATTGTCAACTTTTCACTGTTAAGAATTGATTAATTTCATATTGTTGACTGTTTTTAAACTTAAAGCAGTATTGACTATTAATAAATACCTTCGTCGAATCATTATTGTTGAATCAGTATTATCGAATATTGTTGAATATTATTAATCTAGTACACTCATTTTTCTAATTACTGGTTTTACTTGGTAATTATTAATCAATTAGTTTCAACTACTAATTTACTTTTTGCTAATTACTACCGAAATTATAAATAGTATCTAAGAATAAAATACGCCACGTCAGGTGTAGCTTAATCACTTCCAATGATACTGATGACGCAGTGACAGTAGGTCACTAGAACTGGAAGACTCGAGTAGACACAGTTTCTGAGTATTTCATACCGATGAACAAGGATGAGTCAGCAAGGCGTGGAAATTATTTTGACACGATGAGTTCATATGTTTGAAACTACACCCTTTGATATTAAAAATATCAGCTATTCTGAAAAATTTACTCTTTTTCAATGTACTTATGAAAAATTCAACCTCGTCTAAAAAGAATCGCTTCTCTTTTCCAAACTATTCGATTTACTTGAAATATTTTCTATTTAGAAAATATAACATATATGACACAAAAACTTTTTGAATATAGATATCTATTTATATATATATTTTTTGGATAAAGCATCAGTTGGTAAATTTGACCAAGAAAATTATTGATTTTAATGTTTGACTTAAAAGTGTTTGCTACTTTGACCTAAGGCAAGAAGATAATATATATATATATTAATTAATTAATATTATAATAATATATATTTCCAAAACGAAGGTTATATATATATGTAGTCAATATTAAAATCAATAATTTCCTTGGTCAGATTTACCAACTGATGCTTTATCCAATATATATATATATATATATATAATCCAATATATATATATAACGAGCTTTCATTTCTGTAACAAGAATATTTTCTTTACCTTCTTGCCTTAGGTCAAAGTGGCAAACACTTTTAAGCCAAACATTAAAATCAATAATTCCCTTGGTCAGATTTACCAACAATTTTTGGATGCTTTATCCAAAATAATAAATTAGTCGACAATAACAATTGTATTAACAGTTACCTTGATACGGAATCTTACTCCTTTATTTTCTTTTTTTTTTTTCTTCTTCTTTTAAGGAAGTAATTCCACGTACATCGATCGAAAGAAGAATTTTCCAAAACGAGCACGAATCGAGGAATGTCGCGCTGTTCATTCGTTTGTTACACACCAGGGCGCTATATTTAGCGAAAACACGCGTATAAAAAGCATGGAGCCAACGTGTCACTGTCCGAGAACCATTATGCAAACGTCGCAAACGTTCCAGAAAACTTGGTCTTTCCATGTTCGTTGTACAATCTTCTGTCGATGTTTCTTGTGGATTCCTGAAAAATATCTTAAAATAATCGTAAAGTCTTTAAGTGAAATGCCTGCTTACTTTGTAGAAAATTTCGCAGAATGTTTTCGTTATTATTTTTTGACACTCACTTATTTTAATAAATAGAAAAATTGTCAAAGAAAATGATAAATGGGTATGGAATAAGCGGAGGAAAATATATTTGAAAGACATTAAGGGCCTTTGCTCTTAAGGAACGTCATTCTAAATTCTAGATTCCGAAATTTAAAGGACCTACGAAACTTATCTTCACGCACCACGAAATTCATCATCGACGAATTTCGACATCTGCATCTGGTCGATTACGCAACACGCTTGAAGCTCTGGTTTGCGAAAAAATAATAACTGACAGATAAGGATAGACATTCTATTTCAAGATAGAATAACTTTCCGCTCCGCCAACTCGAAAGTTTTTCTAGTTACGTTAATTAACGTTACGGAATGTCAAAGAAAGAAGGAAGAATGTGTTCGGGAAAAAATAGTTTCTTAATATTTCCATTTCTGACTTGAGTATGATTTCTTTTTTTTTTTTTGTTTAGAAATTTCGATGAACTGCATTAGTACGAAAAAAGGAAAACGATGAAGTCGTATGAATAAAGAATATTGTTATATTTGATAAGGATGACGTTGCAGAAAATACTAAAATACGAGTATCATTTAATTATACAGTTGGATATTGAAATCGACCGTGTAAATGATTTTAATTCGCCAGATTCTATTTCTATCATTATATCTCGCTTCTGCAACAGAAGATTTTTCTCCGTTTTTTTTTTTTTTTCTCCTTTTATTCTATTTTCATTCATTCGGTAGGTACTATTTTCAACCAACTCTGTCTCCTACCTTGCAAACCGACTTCTCCAAATTCTTTTTCCTTCTGAACGTTTCTACAACCTGTCGCGCTGTACAAAGAGAGAATTCTACTCCGTCAAATCCAATGAAACCCGATCGACCATCGACAAGATGATAGCTCGCGATGAACCTCAAGCATCTCTGCAATGTTATCCGTATCTATTTTCGATGGCCGCGCGAAGAAAAGTCCATTCCATCGTTCGACGAATCAATCATGCCAAACTTTTTATTTCAGGTAGACTCATTGGCATTGGAGGAGCTTCCTCTTCGTCGCGGTGCCCGCGGCCTGCCCCAACGGATAAAAACACAGGCTGGCAAGCTACGTACGCGTCTAAGGAACATCCAACGACCCACGTTCGCCTTCGCTGAGCGACAAAAGCCAGAGAAAGCCAGGTCGACGAGCAGCGGCCGCTCGGACAGGTCCAGATCCGAAAAGAGACCGAGTCGAATGGACAGGATACGATCCTCCCTGTCAGAGAGGCCCAGGTTCAGCTTGCCCAATCGTCCGAGATTCTCCTTGCCAGATAAATCGAAGTTTCACTTGCCCGAACGGCCGAGGTTCAACTTTCCTGAGAAAGCGAAGTTCCACCTGCCTGAGAAAGCGAAGTTCAGCATCAAGAAGCCTAACATTCGATTGCCTAACGCTTTGACTCGCAAGAAATCCCCCGTACACGAGCAACGGTCTACAGACTCCACGGTCGGCTCCAAAAGGAATATCTTCGACTTCTCCACTTACCCGCGAATGTTCGATAGAAAGTCGAAGAGCAGGGGCGAATACGCGACCTCGACGCCGAAAGATTCGAGAGCACAGTCAGCGGAAAGCGCTACCTTCCCGCGGGCCAGTAAGAAAGCCGACAGATGGACACAGAGGTTTCACAGGACCAGTGCTTTCGGCGAGGAGAATCAATCGAACGGAGAAACGGCGGCAGAAAGGTTTCAACCTTGGCAGCACCCGTCCATGGAGGAACCTAGATTATCTATTAGCGAGGTTGGAGCAATCACGATACCCTGGGAGGAGGGGCGCAAGGAGGAGGAGCTTCAGTACATGGACTACGAACAGGAATCACCGGAGATTTCCGACCGTCAACCGCATCCGAGGTCGGGAGCTTCCAGAACTGAAGAAGAATTGTACGACAGGGATAGAGAAGAGTCGAATCTCAGATTGTATCCAACCAGGGAAGAGATGTACCAAGAGAAGGACGAGAAAATGGATCAGGAAGAATGGGGACCAGAGGATGAGATACCCAGAGAAGAATTCAGACCGATCCCGAGGTCCAGATCACTGGAGGAGGTTCTTCGAGCCAGAGAAGAAGGGAGATACGAAGAATCTTTCGCAATGATGGATCCAAGAAGATACGGAGTGCACAAGACACCGTCCGAGGAAGAAGAATACGAGGAGGAGATGGACGAGGACGAGGACGAGGAAGCGGAACCATCGTCCGCGCAATCGGACAGAGAGCAACAACACTCGAGTACCAGCTCCTGTGATCGACGTCGGCGTGGAGTTATCGAAGAAATTGACTCTGATGAATTCTTCCTGCGAGAAGGTGGACTCAGCCAGGGTGACATGAATCTTGGCAAATATCTGACCAGCGAAATCAGAGACGCTTTGAGATCAGAAGGGAATGCTTTAGCCGACGACGAAATGGTGCCGATCCCGCCGCAACGTCCCACGAGAAGAAGATCGATAAGAAAGCAAAAGGAAGGTTCCGTGGAATCGTACGATGCGACGCCACCAGTTAGGCCGAAAAGGGATCCGAACAGAGCTCGTCGAAGCGAGTCTGCAGATGAACAGTTTCGTGAGCGAACCAGAAGCGACTCTAGGCACAGAGTGGTTTACCAAACAGAAGGAGAACCCGCGGAACTTCCAATAGAACCACTGGACGATATTGTGGTAGTGAAACCTATGCGTAGAAAATCAAAATCCTTGCAACATAGCCAGTCGCAGCTGTCTGCGGATAGCTCTCGTCCACCGTCACCGCCGCCCGTGGTACCGACTCGTCGGAAACGACTGCGTAAGGAACCTGAGCGTAGGAACGGCGAAATAGCAGCCATCTGCAACGGGCACACCGAATGGGCTGGTGATTCTGTTCCAGAGAAACCTCTTCCGTTGCCGCCTACAATGACCACGGATCAACTGGGGAAACAAGAAATATACAGGGCTGAAGAAATCATGGCAACAAGTGAGGAGAATATTCAGAAACTTGCGACGAGACTTCAAGATGAAGGATACATGGACCAAGCACCAGTACCGCCAAAAAGAAGATCCAGATCTAGAGGAACTTCTGTAGCGCTGGATGAAGATAGGACATCTCACGGTGCGGAATCGTTGCCGGAAGCTGGTTACGTAGAGGAGGATATTCCCCGGGATGATGTCGACCTGGGAAGGGAGCTGATAGATTACGCCATCATAGAGAAACGAGAAAAGCCACCTAGACCTCCTCCTCCGAGAAGAAAGAGAGACAAGTTTGCTACTACTCCAAGACCAATTCCTCCGAAACGTCCCCAAAGAGCGTACAGTACTCTCGGCCCAGTTAGATCCAAAGAGCCTAGCATACTAACTGATGATACTTACGATCTGACGTTGCAAGCGGCTGAGTCTACTCCTTACATAGAAATCGACTCTGACGACGGAGAACACAAAGATCTACGTAGCAGCGAAGTTTTGAGCAAGATGCAGGGGCGACCGCTGCCGGCTCCGCCCAGACCGCCAAGATCTAGAAAAGATAGATCCACGGAAAGGTCCACGCACGAGACGCAACAAGAAATTGCTATGGAAACGACCATTGCCACGCAGACAGATCCTTTGCCCGACGACATGGTGATAGAGGAAGAGGTAACACAAGCGAAACTGATTGTAGCACCATCCAGTTCCGGCTCCCAGATTATGATATCCACGGAGAGAATACCCAGTCCATCGATTACGAGCACACCGCCCGTTCCTCCATTGCCAATGTCTCAAAGATTACGCAAAGATGAACAGCCGGAACCGTCTTACGACACCGTCTCGTTAAAGTCCCCATCGCCAACGAGAGAAATGGAAGCATTCGAAGATAGACATTTGTCCGCGCCACATTTAGGCGAACCAATTCATAGTGACGGAGACGCGCATTTAAAATCCATCAGATCAGCCCTATTTTCAGAGGAGCCTGTACGAATCAGTAATTTAGAGGTTGGCGATTTGAGGGTAGATCGCTTGAGCGTTTCTCAAATTGATGCCAGTAAGATCGTTACATCTGAATTGGATGCGTTAGTCATTACTGCATCCGAGTTGAAGGACATAGGTGGCAGCATGGCGGAGAGTCTCTCTCCTTCTATCATTAGAGAATTGATGGCTATAAGGAGCCATTTGGAGGCTGTGGCTGCATCCAGGATCGAAAGTCAGAGGGAGGAGAGCAAGACGGTTGAGAGAAAGACAGACATTCCCGTTGCGGAAAGGCAAAGCGTCGAAAGGAAGCCTGACGAAGAGTTAATCCATCGTGACGCAGATGAAGAGAAACCAAGAAACGAGGATCAAAAGGTTGTTAAAAAAGAAACAGAGGATATATCAAGCACACACACACTATCGATCGCGCAGGTAGAGGACAAAGAATCGACACACACATTAGCAATTTCACAAATAGTACCGAGCGACAAAGATACTCCTAGCACACAAACATTATTAGTCGTCCAGGGTACTGAAGATAAGTCCTTACAAATTCTAGATACAGAAACCCCCTTTTCATTGAGCCCGGATACTACTGAGGAACTTGGCATGGAAGAATCCCTCGTATCCTCCCCCTCGGTTGTAACGACCGAAGAAAGCACAAAATTCAGGCTGTTTCCGGATCGTCTGACCGAAACTGGAAGCGAACCAGCGGTTTCCACTACCGACTTTAAACTGCCAGAGCCCCAAGAATCTTCAACGTTAGATCAAAAAGGCAAAGAGACTTTGCCAGAAATTTGCGAAAGGAAGACACGAAAATCAAGGTCCAGGTCACCGTCCCCCATTGGTATCCCTAGAACACGACAAACTGCCTCTCCAGTTAGATCGCTACCGCCTGTCATCTCTGTGACTCCGGATACACCAGACAGTGTCGCAAGTCACGGCAGTACCAGCGAAATACAGCCGCAACGTGCCGTGGTCTCCTACATTTCATATGCTGACCAGTCAGACAGAGAGAGCCAAAGAGAATCATCCCAATCGCCAATATCCTCCTTTCCTATCGGAGGCACTCATCTCATAGCATTTCCAGCTTCACAAGTCCCGTCGCAGTTTTTATCCCTGGCCAACCCTCGCCCTGATACAGAGCCAAGCATCACAGACAGTACTAGACAATTGATCAGAGTCCTTCGATTAGCTGGTTTAAAAGCTATGAGACATTTTGTGGGATATATGTCGTCCATGATAGGCCAGGAATCAAGGGAGAAGATCAGAGAAGTGGAATTAACGCTGTGTGCACTGTTACTTCTAGTTGCCGGCTTGCTGATATTTTTCTTCAGCAATCCTCGAACAGTTACACATCATCATCATTGGGATTATTTTAACCCACCGAAATAATAAGCTAAAAGAAAAATGAGTGTAAGAGAATCATAGCAGAATTTATGCTGTTATATCCATTTCAATTGACGGTTATCGTGAAGTGATTTTGTACACGCATAAGGGGCATTTTATTTTTACAAACGATGAGTAACAAGAACATGGACTTAATATGCAATAAAGCAATAAAGAAATAAATAAATATATATACATGAATTTGATCAGTTAAATGGTTAAGTCTCTGATATAATTAATTATTGAACGTTTGTTATGTTTTGAACAAATATGTGTGAATTACAGACAATCGATTGACAAATGAATAACTTTTGCCAGGTGAATATTTATTGTGTTGACTGACTAATGTGAAGGAAACAATACCTGCACATAATTTGCTACGAAAATACTTGTATTTAATTATTTAGTGATGAATATGTATAAAAACAGTATATATATACATATATATATATGTACATATGTATGTATATATATAATTCAATTATAAATATCTATTACCAAAAACAAGTTTTTCACCAACTATTTTTTATCAACATGGAAACTTCATAGAAAAAAGTTGAAATTCGATATGTCATCTTGTCGATCAGCGATCAACAAGAAATAACACGCGAAAAAACAATGTTAAATAAGACAATGTTTTGTATCTCGCGTGGCCACTCGACTAGTAACGAATATAGCGGCGGCATCGTAACAATTAAGGTACACAATTCGAAAAAAATATTTTTTGATACCTTACAAAGATTAAGGTCTATTTACAATTTTATTTTGAATGACAATTTCGACATATTCTAAGGAAACGTATAAAACATTAAAAGATACTGCATTCACATAAAAAGATCTTCCTCATACACTTTCAGGTCTCTCCTATCTTTATGTGCACTTTTCTGTGAATAATTCGCCGCGATCGGCGACCACATAGAACTGGACGTGGCGTCAGTCATAGATTCTATAATGGGTTGCCTTCGTGCCAGCGATACTTTCAACTGAATGGAAGATACCATACTGCCATCCATCTCGCTAATTGCTCTTTCAGCAGCTTCTGTTTTGTCAAATGTAACGAATCCACGGCTAAAAGAACAAATAAAACAAACAATGCAAATCCAAACCTTTGAATACAATGAAATGTTTGAAATTACTAAAACGGTAATTACTTTTTCTCTGCTTCCATTGAAATATTTATAATATTCCCAAATGTTTGAAAATGCTTCTTTAAAAAATCCTCTGATATCTTGTAGCCGCACACGAATATTGTATTTCCAGCTCTTGGCTTTATTTCTTGCTTAGATGGTGTTTGAACGTCTCTACTGGTGCGTTCCTCTGTGTCTTGAGCACTTACAAAACTATCATACAAATCTTTAACCCTTGGCCTTACTGTTTCTGTTTCTTCTTCTTCCATTTGTGTGGCTGAGAATGGCTGATAGGAGCTTATTGTCTTCTCTGTACTGTTCAACTTTCTTACTAATCCACGTGGTCTTTTAAAGGATTGCTCTGGCCGTTTAGGAGTTTTTGGAGCTGTAATCACTCCAGACTTTATCAACTTCTTAGCAATTTCTCTAGCATCTCTAGCTTCTGTCGGCCGTTTCGGTGCTTGCGGTATTCGTTCAACTTCTTGCTTTGGTGCTTTTAAGTCTTGCAGCGCCTTTTTCTACCAAAGATACACAAAATTATCAACAAAACTCAGAAAGATAATTTACAAACAAGCCAATACGTTCCATTGTAAAACTGAATTTACTAAAGATTTAAAACAAACGTTCAACTAATTTAAATATAACTTGACATAATTCTACAAACACATAACAAATAATTTACAGCATAAAATCTTACAAATTTACTATGTATATATTAAAATGTATAAACATAACCTATCGTATACCTTTCTTTTAAGTTTATTGTACTTCGCTTGCAACATCAATTCTTCTTCGGTTAAATTCGATGGAAAATGTAGGTATACCATATTTTGCATGTAATATAGAAACAAGTAGAAATTTCTCTTGATCCGCGCAAAGATTTTAAAGAAACATTCAGAGTCAATGTCTACACTTCACTTCGTTGGTTCAATGTATGCATCTAAAATTTTGCCACGTATGTTGGCAAGCATGAAAATAAAAATGAGCGGAAATCATCGCTCTGTGGATTTTTAACTTATTTTTCTTTATAGTAATACTATGAAACAAACATTGCACATTTCCCGAGAATAAGTTTTACCCGAACCTGGACGCGTTTTTAGATTAATATTAGTTGATGCAAACAACAAACGTAAATGTAAAAATATTTAAGTTTTTGTCGTATACCTTTACATTATTTTTGTAACATATTTAATTGAGCTTTTGTGATGTAAATGTTGAAATATAAATATGTTCTTCAAATGGAATTAAACAATGCATTACAAAATTGCTACAAGACAAGCAAATACTCGTGTACAAACACTCGATATATCTGTAAGAACATTCCTATGTTGTATTATACATATGTCGCTTTACAGAAGAGAGAATCACGACCTTTTTTTTATCAAAATGATCGATGATCTATATCTTCTATAAGGCGCTAAATGTTACATAGAACAAGTAAATCTGAGTCAAAGAAAATAGCTAGTTTCAACTTTCAATATTTATTCAGTCCATTGCAAACGATTCACGCAGAAAATCATATTAAAAATTAACGAGCGCAACAATCGGCTAAGACAGAAGAGGAGAAACATCAGTAAATTCAAACAACAAAATTCAGTCACTTCAGTATTCAATTATTAATAATTATATAAACATAATTTGATTCGTAATTGTAGTGTATAATACATAAGGACAACACTTGTATCGTCGGTGGTGAAGAGTCCGATAGAAACTACAATCATAACCATAACAGTTCATAAAGTTCGCGGTGATTTAGGACATTGGGCTTATCCGCAAAAAGGATATAAATATGATTTTTTTCAACGTCGTTTGTATTCCTCTGTTATAACATAAATACACGTAAACATTTTCAAAACAATAACCGAATAGACAGAAAAATACTCACGTACGTTTTTAAATATTTAAGAAATATTTAAGATAGTAGTAGGTACAGACAAATATCAAACAGCAAAGAAAGTTAGTGAAATATTAAATACCTTGTACAGGGAGAGCCCCGCGACTCGTGGTCAACATATTGAGAGGTGATTCTACGTATAAAAATGTGTCGAAAAGAAAGAATAAAATTTGTTCATTAAAACAATAAACTTCGTCTTTGAGAAAATTGAGTTTAAAAATTTATCAACTACGCTTGAATTTGGCTTCGATACTGGACGGGCACGAAGATATTCTACGCGCAAAAATAAATAAAAAAACGTAGAATAAAATTTTTTTCGGTTAAGACGTGTTAAAGAAAATCAACTTTCGTGTTTCGTTAAAAATTACCGTAACTACACGTGTACTTGATAAATTTTTCCAGTCGGTCGACCACAAGTCGCGGGACACCCTGTAGATCTTACAATGACGAAGAGATATCTTCTGATTGAGAAAGTTTCAAAAATAACAATTAAACAACGTTCGATCCATCTAAACGAAAAGAAAACTCCAATTGCAGCCTTACGAACTATTCATTTAAATTACTATAAAATATAAATAAATATAAAAAATATCAATTTAAAATATTCCTTTCTTTTCTTTCAAATTTCTTAAAAATTTTATGAATTTCGAAATTTATTATTCGCACATACCCACTATTATGCACAAAGGACATTATTCCAATATTTGGTAATTACAAAAACAATCATTAAAGAGTATTGAAGCCTAGTTCGTTTAAATTACAAATTACAAACAAGATGCAAGATAATATAAAGAGAAACCAAAGTAATCAATAATTGAACAAGAAACTACGAAACTACCGAGAATAATTTTTCAAGTTAATTAATTTCCACAGTTTTAGATTCGTTTTCGTAATAAAACATTGGAAAAGATAAATTTCATCATTTTTCTCCATTTTTCTCTAAATATTGTTACACGCAATTAGATCACTCACGCAATTTTGGTAATAAAATGATGAACTTTGATGAATTTAATAAATCAAAATGTAATCGATAAGAATCACGTAATTTCTCCAATTATCATTAATGATATGCATCAACAAGATTTTTACGGTTTTTCTTTATTCTATAAACATCTAGATTGTCATGTTTATAACAAGTCATCGCATAATCGAATGATTTGAACTAGGCTTCACGTAACAAATATACCATAAATATAAATTACAACTATATATTGAAAACTTCTGAGAGCATTATTGAATAGTCATGCAACAATCGATATCAGTATCTCAAAAGCTAACATACATATATGTTTATGTCTTATAAATTTCTCCCCTTTTTTTTCTTAATCTAATAAATTTTCAATATCTCTATCGATTGTTGATTAATTAATTCAATGCATTCATCTCGAGTGATAAAACAATTGTAAAGAAATAACATAGTAAGTTTTGGACAGTCTATCAAAACGTTCTAATAGTGACAGGGATCAACAACTTCGTATTTAACCCTTTCAGCACCAAAAATTTTCTAACAGCGTGGAATTAGCAAAAAAAAAAAAAAAATGCCGACTCAAACTGCTGATAAATGCAAAGAGGATGATGATGCTACGTGCATGCATTGCATTATCGTACATTTTAATACAAAACATATTTTTATGTATATATATATATTTCTGTTTATATTACGGTGATATTGATATGAAGAAAGATATCAATATTTAATTCATAAGTTTTATTATTTACAAGCATTCATCTACAAAATGTAAATTTAGTGGACTTCTTTCCAAGAATCTCTTATTTTCATTGAAAACTTGATTTGTAGGAAATGGCAGCAATGCCAAAAAATGGCTAAATATACTTTTTGGTTTCTGTTTTCTAGTGGCACAGATTTTTACATGTTCATAATACGTAATGAATGATAAACATAGATAATTACATAAATTAAAACAGACTGTATAGAATACAAGCCTGGTCATGATAAATCTTTATGTTCACATCAATAAATATTTTTTTTTTAACTTAATAATAATGACGCCAAGTTTATATGTGAACAAGTATTGTGAAATGTAAAATTATATGATACAAAATGTAAAATTATCAATAAACTTGGTAAAATATATATTTAATATATTCGAAATTATAACAAGCACTTGTTTCTAAGTAGTAATTTCCAAATAAATCCAGATGCTACTACTATCAAATTATTGAACTCAAGACATGATATTACATATTATATTGTAAGAATGGAATTTAACCTATACTGGCATTAAAAGGGTTAATTATTGTTGTGTCAGATAAATGTTTTTTTCTTTCTTCTTTCTTTCTTTTTTTCTTTCTCTTTTTTTTAATCAACAAATGAATATACTCTGTGCTGCATTTCGATATTAAAATTCTTTAACATTTTAAATAAAACGATTGGCTAAAACGTTTTGATACAGAGATATGTGAAAATATCAAAATTCTTACGGTTAAAAAATATATCAAGAAATTTATGAAAATAATGTAGCTGCAGGAACTCCAAATATATATATCAGTTACACACACACGTATCGTAAGAAGTCCATAGTTTAAATTCGGATTATCACCAAGCAATTGGTGATTCAATTTCTTTCCCTTCTTCTCTTTTGTAATTTACTCCTATTTAGCACTTTCATTATTTTCACTATTATTTGTGCTCTTGAATGAGATTCTATAACTCAGTAATCCATACGTTATTGGGAGTTTTATGATCCTTATAGTCTCGAAACACATCGAAATGAAGCGAGATAATCGAGGTCTAAAATCTTTCGGTAACATGTAATATTTCACAAATTCGAGGAATTTTACGAATCCGATCGGTTCCAAGGACCAAAAGGCTTTAAAGATAAGGAAGCTTTGACATATTGAAGACTTCGTGAAGCACAGAATATTTTGTAATTGTTGAGTACTCGATTCCACAAATACCTGACACGATGTAATCACTTTGTACGCAAACGTTTCATATTCCCACACATACCTATTTAACAATTGTTTTTCAGAGTACTTATGTTCAATAGAGGATCATTCACCATCCAAATATATTCTAAGCGCTTTCTCTTTACGTGCATTGTAACGAGACGCAGAAGAAAGTGGTAAAAAAGGTGATACTTCTCGAATTGCAATATCATTGTACTCTTCTTGGGATGATGATTGTGAAGTTTCCCTACTATCTCTGTTAAACGTAAATTTGACAAATCAATTATTTTTACATCTCATTATGATATCTTTTAATATATATCTATGTAATAATTATTGAATACGTACCTATATAAGAACAGAGCGCCATCCTCAGGATTAAATTCCATTCCAGCAGTTAATCCAATCCAGTCTTGATCATTCTCAATTCGTATAATAGGCATATGTACTGAACCTTTTCCTCTTATAATATTTATATATTTTTCAGGTATATCCGATATTAAAGACAACTAAATTGAAATTGTTCATTTAGTTTTTTGTAACAAATGTACAACAGTCCCAATTCACTTACTTTTTTCATCATTTCTTCTATAGTTGTTTCATCTAATACGATTTCTTGAGGTGGTCCAAGATGAATTTTTGAGATAAAATTTGTCCAACGTCGAACAAATATAATGACTTGATTGCTATTGGTAACTGGATCTTTATCAGGTAACTCTTGTACAATCATCTCAAATTGCGAATAATATTGGAAATCCTTAAACTTTTGATGATCTAAAAGTACTTTTGAAGGTGACACGAAGCACTTTTCCCTTAATCGACATCGTTCGTACGGTATTTCTATATTATATCTTCTTTTCATTTCTGCAAGAATTTCTTTCTTCGCCTGTCCGACAGTCATATCTTCCGAAACAATCCATTCGAACAAAAATTTGCCCTATAAAAAATGAAAAATAGAAGCACTATTATTTAAGCAAAGAGAAAAAATATTCACAAAAATATCTTAATAATTTGGATATTCATACCTCGGCCGAGTCAAGGGAAAACTGATGTAATTTTACTGTAAATTCACCATTACGTAAAGCCCGTCCTATTTCTATCCAAAGTTTTTCTCCATCTTCATAAGAAACAAGTTGACTAAGTAAACAGCTACACTCTGATTCACTACATTCATCAAAGTAACGACAAATTTTAAAATATTCTGCGGGTACACCAACGTATGGCTCTAAGTTTTTCTTCAAAGTATTGAATATCATTCTTTTATCCACTAATACTTTCAAAACTATGACCAAAGTAATCATCATTAAATATCTTTGCAATTTCGAATATTTCATAAAACAAATTTAGGATACATACATTTTTCATTATGATTCGTAAATGGAGTGGCTTTAAAATAATACTCTGAATCGTCGATAATATTGTCCCAGTTTTCGAGTCCAACCTTATTTAACATTTTAATAGCTCGATTACTTGTACTCGATGAAAGATATGGTAATTGAAAGTCTTCGTCCCCTGGAGCATCTCCAACTAAAGTTTTGTCACTATCGCTGAGACTACTGTCTTCGCTGTTACTTTGTTCAGGAGTATGCCACTCTTCGCCCTCTCCTAACTGTGGACTTGCATTTTTTATTGGAGCATCTTCAACAAGTTTTCCGTTCTTTAAAATCTCGTTACATTTTGTACCATTATCTCGAAACGTTTCAGTAATGCTCGCTTTGGATGGGCTGTCAGTCACAGGTTTTTCTTTATCTTCTTCTAACATTGGAATATTTAATTCTTCCAACATTTCTATATTCGGCAAAATGTAACATCATGCAATTATAATTTTAGTAAATATCATATTAATTTTAACAGAATTATGTTTATCACTTACCTTTGCTTGAATTAGGAGGTAACTTTATACGTAATGTTATAATGTTTTCTAACTGTTCAGCAATACCAGATATTGTTGTTTCGAAGTAGGATTTATTACACTCGGCATCATACGAAGTACATACGAAAACTTTAACCAAGTTATAAAAGTCTGAAACTGCTAATATAGCATCGTCGTTCTGTACAAATATCGCGTCTGTTCCGTGTTTTCGTACAACTAACTTCATGTCATCCGGATCCATATTAAACATTGTTCCTACTACTTGCTTATATTCTTTCACTGTTTGCGAAAACGAACTTCGTACAGTTTGTGGCCCTTCAATAAGCTTCTTTCTAGCTATATCGACGACGTACACTTTAGTTAAAATACCTACGAAATAACAAAGAAATATTATTTTTCATCTTATTGATAGCACGTAGGTACATACGTAAAATTAAATACATACCACTTCGTAGATGTGGCTCGAATTTTTGATCTTTATCACGTACTTCTAATAGTAAACTATAACGAGTCACTCGATTATTCCAAATACTTGCAAATGTTTCGTGTTCTCTACCTTCGTAACTAGTCACAATTAAGTCATTGTTGTGGTCGTAAGCAACTAAACGACACTGATTTAAGCTCAACACTCTTTCTAAGCAAAAGTTCTCATAAACATACTTCGTCGTTTCAGCCCAAGTGGCATTAGGCGAGAAGGAAAGTCTACAATGTAATTTTTTATCTTCGTTAGGATGCTGACAATATACTTTTACTCTGGCCAAATCTCTTTCACGACTCTTTCTATCATTGTCTTCATTCTCCTTCATTTTTTTCAACAATTCCTAAAGTGGAATAGTATATGGAATATTACAAAAGCACGATATGAATATTACATTTTACATTATACTACTTTTCCTTACCTGTATGTGTTTTGGAAAATCTTGCACTTGCATGGGCAAAATATTACGAATAGGATCAATTTGTCTATACATGAGCATGTACGCATTAGTACTGCTATAAGCTCCACTAAAATATGACCTAGTTGAACCACCACCATACGTTTTCTGAATATCATCGTGAGTTATCTGTAATATAACTATATGTACAAATACTATTTTTTTAAAAGCATTGTATAATGTTCTCAAATACCTGGGTTACGTTCTGATCATTAAAACAGAACCATTCATTCGTTCTAAAATCTTTTATATAAGCATAATAATGACCACCGCTAGCACTACCGCTATGAATCATAATTGAGAACAACTCATAATTATAAGGTCCTTTTACATTATTGCTACGATCTTTTTCATTTTCGTGATTATGCACAGTGCAATTCGATGTTGAAGGTCCATTACTCATATCTATGCCTAAAAATAATCTATGCTTAAAAATAAATTACTTAAATAGATGTTAATCATAACATGCACATAATGTGTGGAATTAACATACCTTCATCATCATCCTGGTCGTGATTTGTTGAATGATTACTATTAGGAAGACTGTTTTCACACGGAGGACAATCATCATCTAATGTACCACTATCTGTTATAGAATTATCGTCGCATTTCGCTAAACCAATATTTTCATCAGTACTCGGAGATTCTTGATTTGGCATAGAAGCAATAAAAGAATTTAAATTTAATATATCTGGAAAAGTAACCCTAAAATTAAAAGTTTAGTATGAAAGTATAAGACTAATAAAGAACTGTAAACAATAACAATTTATAATAAACTTACTTATCATTAAGCTTAATTCTGTGGAAGGTTTTGAAATCAAAATCGAATCGTTTAAGATGTAGTGTCAGAAGATAGGGAAATTTTGTGAACTTTAATCCTTTATGAGCATCGCATTTTTTATTACATTTTTCACAATGATATTGATTACTTCCTTCCAAAATTTCATGTTGGACAAATGCTCTTAAAGCTTCTTCCTATTATGAATACACATATTTATATTAATTTAATTTATATATTAAAATATAAAATTATACAGAATGATTATAAAAATTGGTACCAAACTTCAAGAGTGTATAGTATTCGTCAAAAGAAGTTTTGATAAACTTAAGATCAAAAATCATATTGAGACTTTTCTGCTGGTTTGGATGACCACTATATGTTTCTGAAGTTTGGCACCAATTTTTATAAATATTCTGTACAAACTTACCACGCTTGTATATGCCACATTACTTCCAAAAGGTCTTACTGGTAATGGTATATCAAGAAAAGTATCTTCCCTTGATTTTTCAGTACTACACTCAAGACATTTAACATAATCAATCATCTTTCCTAACAATATGAAAATTAAATTAGAAACTCCATTCAAATGTACTTAAATATTTTAAATATATATACCTTCATAAAGTCTATTTATCAAATCAGCTTGTTCTGTATTTTTAAATTTTTGTTCTAATGCATCGAACATAACTCTACAAAGTTCTTGAATATCATGTTGTTGCCAGGCCTCTGTTGAATCCCAACCAAAACTCTTTGTTAGTGCTGTTGTTTCTACTGCCGATTTTGTCGATGTCTATAAATACAAATATTTATTTTTTTATTAAATATTTTTACACAATCATACTGTCATTAATCATAGAAATAGTGTTTATACTTGTAAATTTAAAAATAACTTCTGTAATTGATATGGGATACTATTAGCTTCATCTTTTTCTGATCCTTCTACATATTCCCAATTGTACAATGCATTTCGAAATTCAGGAGTCATATATAATGCTTGTAATAAACTATTTAAGTAACATGTCATTGCTTGATTGACTAAACCAACATAGCCTTAAAAAAATATATATATAAATATTTAGTAGTAACATGTATTTTATCATGAAAACATAAAGTAAATATTACTTACATGTTTCAGACTTAATGAGGCTTTTAAAATCAACATTATTATCTTCACCCCATACTGATGAATGATTGGGAGATGGTGGCGGAGGATTATATGCAGTCCGACGGCGCCATTGTTTCTGCAAAATATCTGTTGGATCCATAACTAAAAGTGTGTGCTTGTGCTCAGTTGATGATTCTCGATCGAAAGAAAAATCCACACCAATTTCTGACATTGTTTTATCTTTCACTTCAGATAAATCGATCTAATAGTAACAAAACAACTTTAACTTCTACGTAAACAAAACAGTAAACTGTTGATGAATTGCATTAACAATAGGACAAAACGAGATGTAATTACTAACCAATTTCCTGCCTGATAATAAATACAACTTAAAACTGTCTGGTTGTATTTGACAATGCTCTTCAATATGAACATAAAGATCCTCACCACGGGTAGATTCATGAAGCAGAAGTCTGTCAGCAGTAAAAATCTTATTTTTAACTCCAGATAAATTGCATTGAATGAAACATATTTGACCTGCTCTACAAACCATGATCTGTAAAAAAATTAAACAGAATATATAACATTTGACTGAAATTTCCATTTAAAAAGAACATATATTAAACATTAATGAAAATGCAATACAATATCCTATATACATTCTAAAGAAATTATATAATTCAGTTATTTCAGCTTATACAGCGTCAATTGTTATTTAGTTCCTTAAAAAAGGAATACGTTATTTTTAAACAAATATATATTAATTAGAACGTGTTCAAAGGTGTTTTTAATATACATTAAAATTATTAATCACAAAATAAGACTAAAATATTATCATAAATGTATGAAAGAATAATTACAACATTACTTTCAATTATCAAACATAATATTTAAAGATAATGTTACAAATAGGATCAGTAATTTTCAGACAAATAAAATTGGCATTACGCCATACTAAAGGTAGAAAATGAGCAAGATCTACGCAACGCATTGAGATACTACTCTGCTCAGTATGACACAGTAAGGAAAGCCTATAGAGCCTCCAGTTATATTTAGAATGTCTAAACGAAGACTTGGAAAATGGCTCTCTTCTCCGACATCAGTATTCCCCCTTCTTTTCCTCTTTCTTAGTCGCCCTATTGCTACTTACTTATTCTACTAACTTCTCCTTCTTTTTTTTCCCGTTTCATATGACTGCCAAATAAATGAAAGCTAGTTGTGTAACTTAGAAAAAATTACGCTTAATGAAAAGTTAATAAAAAAGCAAATATAACTTTGCTACATATTGAATAATATTTCATGAATATAGTGCAATGTTGTAATCTTTTGTTAAACGAAGTTGTAGTCACTTTTAATACTTACTGGCAATATATATATGTTAGAGTACAGCCCACATATACCTCTTTATTGTTTCAATCTAAAAAGATTACAAAAACAACATAAAATTACAATTAATATTCCTTTGAGTCCAACATTTTGGAAAACTTTTAAAACTAACATTTTTAACTTGTAACTTGTATCAAGTTACATATATATATATGTAATAAATATGTTTAAAATATCATATGATATATACATATATCTATGTATATACGTATGATATATATGTCTCACATGCATACATGACATACACATATTTATATACATGTATACACGTATGCACATACACACACACATATGTACATATATCATACATACATAACACATACACATACACGCGTGCGGACACACAAATACGTATATAGTATTGAATTATTACGTATTAAATTACATTTCACCAATAACTTCATTCATCAAGTTATTTGAGTATTACTACAGCCGCTGAAAATAGCGATAAAAGTCAACATCTTCTTACATTACTTTTAAACACAAACAAAACGACTATTCGTTCTTTTTGTATACAAAAAAAAAAAAAAAGAACTACGGTTTTCATACGAACGAGGAATCGAACTTAACCGTTCCAATCGTTCCGCGGACTAATTTCGCACGAACAATTTGGTTTTAAATGTCGTCGCATAACAGAACTTTTTTTTTTCTTTTTTTTTTGCCCGCTCAATTGAAACAAAACATACTGTAAACAAGTCACAAAACGGAAAATCCACGAAACGCCAGAGCAACGAAAATATACGTATTCTTTCTTTTCTTTTTTTTAATTCTCACGGTTTTGTCACCGGTTGCGCGTTCGCGTTGCGACGACCAACAGGCGAAAAGCGGACTGCGTTAGCGCGGTCGTGGACGGACGTGTTTACGCGGTGAAGAAGGCGACTGGCCAGACGAGCGAAAATCAGGCGCGCAATAACTCAGGAGATCGGAATGCGCTCTCGTGCCAGTGGTGCCGAGTTAGAACGGGCTTTTTTTCCATTTCGACGACGACCGTAACGAGAAACCGTTGCCCACTCGGGGACGATATCGGGCAGCCTAATGGAAACGGAAACATTCAATTGATGCCCAGTCATGTTAACTGATCCGGCATTAACGGGAACAAACATAACAAGAACATTTTGTGAAATGGCCGGTCAAATACTTCTCTGTTCCTATTTCAATCTCAAACTATCAAAACGGCTTGTACCTGAACGATTTGTACTTCGAATTCTGTGTTAGTCATTCTCAGATCTGTTTCAATCACGTGACAGGCGAGCCGATGTACTTCTCTCTCGTACGTCGGATATAGAAATTCCAGAAGCGACACTTGATCCCTTACCGATATCACTGAGAGACATGTACGACGTTCACTTTACGCCATATTTTCTACATAACACAGTTTGGCACTGCCATGTAACGATGCCAGTGAAAAGGCATGGGGCATAGAATAGACATAACCTAGACGGGAGAACCGATGCGTTTTCTTAGCATTCGGCTTAACTTGCCAATCTTCACCCAATATACTTTTCACCTCTAGCATCACTAGCAATGTGACTTCCAATTGCAATAAATCTCAATCCTAGAATCAAAAAGATAAAAATGCAGAATCCAATAAGTGGCGGAAAGTTGTCTTGTCCCGCGAAATGGTTCTAGATAGATGCGTTCCGACATGTGACAGCACCTCACCTCCCCCCCCCCCCCCCCCCCCCCCCTTTCCCACCTTTCTTCCCAGCCGTTCGATAGACAAGAAAAGTAAATGTGCAACGGATATATGAGTCGCGTGTCTGACAAGGATGGCGATAGCGCTTAATTCCAACGTTTCATCGTTGCACGGCGCTACTCTTTACCAGCGTCCGCGAATCAATCAATTTTTATTTACGAAAAAAAAAGTAATTGACAAGATTAATTTATAATTTTTTTCTTTTTTTTACAATCACATCTTCCTAATTGCCCAGTTTTCTTCTTATATTCATATATTTGTCAGGCATGCGAAACGCATGTGCACGAACTCCAGATGAATGAATTATCGATAGATCGAAACGTTTGTCCGATTGACGTTTAATTTATCGTAAATCGTGCGGAGAGCCTGAATTGAAAGTGAACCCGAAATAAAAGTATTAAAAAGTAATCGACTTTAAAATATACTATGAAAGAGTATATTTAAGTAATATACTATAAAATATAATATGTTATGAAAACATTCTAGTGTATTATAAAACACAGCGGAGAGAAGGCTGTCGGTTCGAGCGGCTTTCGGAACACAGATAGAATTGTTGAGCGACCGTAGCGCTATTCGCATTGTAGCAATATCAATGCATACCAGTCTATGATATATCTGCGATGGTGTATCAGTCGCCATAGAGCTCATAAAATTGCTCGAGGTACTCGATGAATTTCGGGTAAGTTGGCTCGATAATTTTCGTCGATACGACAACCACGAAAACCGGAATTCGACATTCCATTTGGAAGTTGGAATGATATTTATAAAAAATATTTCTTTCTTACGGACACCGCTCGCGAATGACCTTTTTCTGAATATTATAGGATTGAACCGACTAATTCTTTTTTTTTTTTTCACACACAGAATGAAACATAGATCAACGATAGACGAATACTCTTAGTAAAATTCTTCTCTCTTCGGCAATCACAGAATTCGTAAAAGGCTCATTTCACACTTTCAGGATTATAACATTGGAATTTAACATGTCGATTTATATATGAAACTGACAGTTCGTGATTGTTTGAAATCAAAAGATCTTTGCTCCTTTTGCGTGCATTCGATGAATGAGACCTGTCACTGTTGTATCACTTCTGTTACAGGTATTCCAAAATCTTCCTCGTTTCCAATGAAGCTCATTTTACGTAACAAATGACAGATGGATGAAATTCAATTTTGCAAAGCCACTTTTACTTCCACTGTATGATCAGACGGTCAGAATAGAGTCTTGCTTATCAGTAACAGAACACTAATAGCCATCAAGATGAACATCAGCTCAATAAGCATAGGTGATCTCTTCAACTTATTGGAATCCAACAAACTCGCGGAGGTAGAAGAAATAAAAAAGATATTTCATGATTTTTTTTTATCCAGTAAGTAAAATCACGAATTTGAAAGTACCTAGAAGTGATCCTCTCTTTCAAGTCAATGATCTCTTATATTTTTCAGCAAAAGACAATTGGCTGATAAATGGTCTTTTCGATTATTATCTGTCTACAAATTCTTTGAGAGCTGTTGAAATATTAGCTGGCATTCGTGATCCACACGACAAGCATCTCTTAGACCGTTTGTCCGAAGCCCTTTCCAAATCTGGAAGTAGCAGCCAAAGAATTCAAACCCTCACTTTGTTGGGTCATATTGCCCGTCGTCAGCCAACTTGGTTATACAAGCTTGCCAGTCATACTTTATTTCGGGATTTACTTAAATTACTAAAGGTGAAGTTCAGTTTTTAGCAAAGTAACAGGAAAATACATTGCAATACATTGCAATGAACAATGAACTTTTTAATTGATCTGTCTTTTAGATGGAGGTGGATATGTTGTCTCTCATGAGTGCGCTTCTACTTTTGGTGATGTTATTACCGATGTTACCTGCTGCTTTAGGGCCGTACCTCTCAGAAATTTTCGAAGTATTTGGTCGATTAGTCTCTTATTATTATCATCATCAATCGTCATCCGTGTTTTCATCTCCTATGCATTTTACTTCAGCAACAGGGACAATAGATAAAAATCACTTATATTTATTACATCTGCAAGTAAGTATCATTTTTTTTTTTTTTTTTTTGTGCAAAAGAGAAAAAAGGTAATTGATATTTCTTGAATTTCTTGTAGATAGGCCTGTATAGTTTATTTCACAGATTGTATGCCATGTACCCTTGCAACTTCATTTCATATTTGAAACAACAACAACGAGATCAACCGGCTACTTTTATCCATACAATTAGACCAATGCTAGATTCAGTGCGTATGCACCCTTTACTTGTTACTGCATCTAAAGACACCGAGATCTCTGCTGCTAGGTACAGTTTATATCGGAAAAAATAATGATGATTTAGAGGAAGTATTTTGTGTTTATTGTTTATCGTTTATCTGTTATTTTTTAGATGGAAAAAGATGGAACATCATGATGTTATGGCCGAATGCGATCGTTTTACATTGGATAAATATCGAGAAGAAGTATTTCGTACTGCAAACTCACGTTCTACGCCACCCTTAGGTTTGCAAGTTTTGTTCAAATATATATGTATAATTATAAATATACAAATAGTTATGCAACTAGTACATTTTTTAGATTACTCTTCTGTGTGTAATCCAATAAATATCAGTGGAGGAATAGCGTCATCAGAGATCAGCAACGGCGAAGATGATACGTTCTGGTCACCGAGTATATCAGTGCCACCACATAGTCCTCAGTTTCCAGTTACATCTCATGAACAACGATCTGCTCCTTCAACACCTAATAATAATAAAAGCGGCACATCTCCACCGGAAGCCGCAGTCGAAGCCACTCCAGAAACAACTCCTGTTAAGGTATACCTAAAGGCTTCCAAAAATGAAGAAAATATATCGATACAATGTTTAAAATTCTATGTACAGGATCTACGAAAAATGTCAACGAGGCAAGTACCTACTGGTTCTTGCGCAGTACGTGCTCTTACTGCATTTGGTAATGGCACAGTAGGACCAAATTCACGACCATCTACACCAATCCCTTTAAATCCATCTGTATCTGGTTCCGCAATTGGAAGTGGAGATACAAATAATGCACATGGATTTATTCCGCACAAGCTAAGTAAACTTATCGCAGATAGACAAACAATCAATCAACAAAGATCGTCCATCAACGTTGATGAAGATGGAAGATTTTCGGAAATGAATACACATCAAAATGGGAAAAATGATTCTTGGCAAGAAGATCAAGAGGTTCTGTATTTTGTATATTTTTGTATGTAAGGATATTGTGTATTAACGAATATTAGTAGACATGTTTCTACGTTGCATTGTGCAGGTTTTAGAAATTGTAAGCTCTCAAACTACTGGAAAATTCGAAAATTCGAAATATGTCGAACAACAAGAACATCATAATGAAAAAATGCAAAATGCTTTTGCAGATTTGTCACAAAAGGTTTATCAGCTACGTTTGTATTCTCAAAGTCAAGCTTCGACACAACATTTAAATTTGAATTCTCTTTGCAAAGTAAGACATCTTCATAGTGATTTTTATGTTTAATATTTGTTGTGAGAAAAAAAAGAAACCTTAGCACGATGAAAATATATATTTACAGATTCGAAAAAGCAAATCTTGCCCAGATATCAAAATTCAGAGACAAATTAGTAATGATAAAACAGATTCGGTAAAAATAAGGATGAAAAAATTAGAAGATACGGGAACTCAAACGTTCGATTTACTTCCATACGAAGATTTATTGCTAGGAATTCTGGAGCAAAAGACGCAAATCAATTTACAAAAACGTTCTCTGCAAGATACCGAATTTAGATTATCACCAACTGCAATGCTTGATCGTTATGTCGAAGCTTGCACGCATGGTAATAATTATTTATACAAAATGAGTTAATTCAAGAGCTCAATAATAAATCTTGTCATAAACCAACAGAAATTTGAATTAAGTATTTCTCTTCAAAGGAACTAACAGAATTAAGCAGAAACAAAGAAAAGAGAATGGTGGAGAAGACGAACTAGCAGAAGAAGATACTTTCGACGCCGAATGTACGACTCGGTTACTACAACTTATGCAAATGCAATTGCAGTTCGAACGGCACCGTAGAGAGGTTCACGCTGAACGGAATCGACGACTTCTTGGCAAACTGAGGGATTCTCGTGCGTTAGAAGAACATAATTATGCCTTGGTCAGTTGATATTATTTGTTTGTTAACATTTTTAATTCTTGCCGTTGTTAAATACGAAATTCTTATCACGTAGACTGATCGTTTAAAAATAATGGAGAAAGAAGTGGAGAGCTTAAAAACTGAATTAGAGCGTAAAAAGAAAGAAACTTGTCAAGCTGAGGACAAATACAAAGATGCATTGCATAACTGGCAAACAAAGGTAATACCTATAAATTCTATTGACTTTATTACTAATAGAAATTCATATAATAACATGGTTATAACAACGTCAGTGTGTAGAAGAACAACGACAGAATCAAATATTGAAGGAACGTCTCGAATCTATCGAAGTTAAATTGAAGAATGAGCAAAAAAAGGTAGCAGACTGTGAACAACGAATTCAGTCCACAGAAGCTTCTTTATTCGACGCAGGCCATCAATTAAGAGTAGCTTTAAAAGCTGCAAATCGTAGTAAAGAGTTAGAGCGCACTCTCGATTCTGTACAGAAGAAATTTCTTCTACTTGGAGAGGTATTATTTTAAATTATGTATGTATCTTTGCACGAGATATATTGAATTTATTTTTATACATCTAGGCACAAGCGAAATTACAAGAAAGTACATCTGGTCTTTCACCAATGACAAAGCAAGAAGTAACACAAATACAAAAGTCATATGCAGAGGAATTAACTAGTGAGTAAATTTTATTTATTTACAAACAATTATGAAAATATGTTAAAAATAATGTATATTAATATTTGCGTAGATTTACGGCGACAATTAGAGTCACGAATATCTCTTGTAGAAGCTTTAAAGATACGTTTAACTGAATTAGAGAATAAAGAAGCACGAAAAGAAGCGCAACTCGTAGAACTGCAACGGCTTTTACAAGAAACAAAAGATCAACATGAAGCTGAATTGGAAGCCGTCGTATCAAAATACAAAGCACAAGCTGAGATAAACCTTCTTCTTGAAGGTCGTATACTTGAACTTCATGGAATATTAGAGGCAGCGACTTGTAATACTACTGTAAACAATCTAGCTTCTTCAGCATCGCCTAAAGAAAGATCACCTCCATTGTCGGCTAGTTTAGCCTCTTCTAGTGAGGGAAGTCTTGCCTTTATTCATTCAGGTACTGGAATTATAATGAATGACTGCTGTGATACCGCAGGCGAAATTTCTAATCTTCAAGCTATCGTCGAACCTGTACCAAGCCAGGCTACTTCACCATCTCGTCAGAATCAACAAAGACGAATTCCTAAACAAGACTAACGCTACGCAAATCTGACCACCGAGTCTTTTCGCATGCAGCTATTCCGTTTTGCACGCGTGCAACTGTTATCCAGTGATGTGGTATTAAATCAGAAGAAAGTTATTTGTAGCTTTTTATCGACATATTATGCAGAATTCATAAAAATATTATTATCGCGTGATTTCGATAAATAATTGAAAATATACTGGTAATTAATAAAATTACTAGCATGGAATGATTTCACTCTTAAGAAATGAATTCACAATGAATAAATGGTTGAGATATTTTGTGAGCAATTTTATATGTCTCAACTAAACACATCCTTGCATTACTTCCCTTCAATATCTACGGATGATAAACATTTTACTTTCATTTATAAATTCTATCAGTGAATTTAAAAGGAAATTACTTCAATATAAGAAAAATGAATATATTACAGAGCATAATAAATTTTTAATACAATAATTATATAATACTGAATAATCAATTTATCTATAAGAATGAAACAAATTTTTTAACAATTAAAGTGCCTAATAATATTATACGAAAAAAATATATATTTTACTACATTCAACTAAAGTCGTCATATTTAAGTAAACAATGAATATATCAAATTTCTAAAAAAAAAACGCTGTCGTTTTTATTTTATTAATAAGTTTGTAATTCACGACTCATAGTCATAAGAATAGCATCATCTGGATTAGAATAATTTGCCAAATCTGGAAAAAATCAACAAAGAGAACGCTTTTCTTCAATTGAAACAACCGTTGAATAGTACCTAAAATTATTTTGATCATTATTTATGTATCCACATAATCGTTACTCACGATTGTGGCCCATGTGTCTCGGCGATGTTTTAAATTTTCTTAGGAACAATTGAATGAGCCAGAAGCAAGTTAGCCACAATAATGCTCCTATTGAAAATGCTCTTAACGCTACAACACTACCATACTTGTTTATTAACCATCCACATATTAAACTACCACTTGATACTCCTGAAAATAATTATCAGCACAGAAATTAATTATTTAAAATAGTTAAATAATTAATTTACAGTTAATTGACCATTACTGACCAATTCCTTCGAAAATTGCACCAATGAATCCTTGTATAGTAGCTTTGGTACCAGGTGGTGTTACCTTATCACCATATGATACCATTGTAGGCCAACAAAGTCCTAAAGTAGGTCCATGAAGTATTTCAATAACTAAAAACCACCATAGATTTGATACAACACTGTATGCCATAAATCTGAAAAAAATAGTGTAATTATTAGTACAAAGTTAGACTACACAATTAGGAAAAAATTTTATTATTTACCTGATTGCGTATACCAATAAAACTAAACTCATAACATTTACATGACCCAACTTTTGTAAAACAGTTCCCGAGATAAAATTAAATGGTAATTCTCCTAGGAAACATTGTACGCCTGTCATAAGGCCTTGTAAAGTTTTCAGCCATGTTATTTGTGAATTATTTGCTAAATCTTCAGTATACCAAAATAGAAAATTCCACACTACGCTAGTACACATTCCAGCACCTATGCACCACCATCCAAATGCCAACACATTACCCTCTTTAAGGATAGTGAGTAGTTCCCATAATATTGAAGGTTCATCCTCAGAGTATTCTGGATTTTTCTGTAATTATACTGCTTTCTCCCATTACCTGGCAATTTTTTTTATTCTTTTGATAAGTAAGAAGTATCAAACTTCTGTACTATCTAACATTCCTCTACATATAAGATTATACATAATAAAAGAAGTTTTACCTTCCTTAAAGTTGCGGACACAATGATATCGAGAACCATAATGACCAACATGATATAAAATATACAAGTATAATCTTTTTGTAATTTTCCTTCACTAAATAAGTCTACCAAATATCCTGCACTTATTCCAAATATACCAAAACCAATACTGCCCCACATCTTTTGTTTCCCATATTCTTTTCTTCTTTCGTTTCCTATGATTGATGATATATATATATATGTATATATAAACATGAAAAACATACTAAATATTTAATTAATGTATATAATACTAACCAAGGAGATTAAAACATATAGCATCAGCTATGCTGACAACAACTGCCATTCCAATCCAACTAATTATAGTTGCCAACAGAAATGAATAAAACTGATATCTTGTATTTTCTGCAGAATTTTGAGCAACATTAACATCATGTAACAACTGATTAAAGGTGGCATTATTATGACACGTAATTAAACATGATGTTTTCACATAATTTTCACAAGTTGGTTTATATGGTATATTATCTAAAAATTTGACAATAAAACTATGTATGTATATGCAGTTGCTTATCTGCAAAATAAAAGATTTAACCATATCTCTCTTTACAAAAAAAATATAGGAAATTATATGTAAAATATCTTACATGAAGATCATGAAACATATCAAATATTATGGTAAAATTAATCGTATCGTTATTTAAAATAGAGGTTGAATTTACTAATTTACAAAACTGAGGTGTTTTCCAATATGAGCACATTTCATTATAAAGTTCTTTTGAGGCTTTACATGATGCCTAGAAAAAAATACATGAAATATAAATTAATCATATCTAATGTACTAAAAGTAAAATGAAATATGAAAATGTCATACTTGACACGATACGTTGAAGTGAACAGTCTCTGTTATCACATTATTTATAATTTTTTCAGGGAATCCGTTTTTTGAACATATTTCTATAGATGCATCACCATTACAAGTAAGTTGAACATTTGCACTACTCTCTACTTCTGGTATAAAATATATGGAAAACATAGTTATTGCCACAACAGCTTGAAACATTAAAAAAATCATTTTGTGAATTTTGAATTTGTCAGCTAATGCTCCGAACAAAGGTTTTGCTACTAAACCAGAAATTGGCAATATTGTGTATATAGTGCCAGTTAAGAAAGCATTGAAGCCTAACTGTTTTGCTATTGTTGGCAAAAATGGTACTATTGGTCCAGTAGCTGAAAAACAAAAGATACAGTTATATGTAATATTTTGTAAAATATGACATTTAAAATATAATATAATTACCTGCATTGAATAAAAAATAATGTGTTTTTATTGGTAACAATTCCTTATTTATATTTTCCAACATTTTTGAAGTACTTGCGCCGAGCAATAAGTTAGAAATATAAATTACAATCTGCAAATAATAGAAATTTCTAAAGAATTGTTTGTTCAGAAACGTGTAAAATATGAACAGACGTTAACATTGATTTTATCAAAGTTTTTCATTAATTTTGTACTAATTTGAATATTTAATTTTAATAGATTATTTTATATATACAATTGAGACGTATACTGATACTAAATTTCAATGTTACGTAATGTGTTTATTAGCAATAACTTTTCACATTATATCTATTACAAACTGCCTAAATTTTATCTTACATGTGCACTTTGTTCTGAAGCTCTTCACTGTCTAAGAGATACTAGTTCTATTTGCTGTATCTGCAATTTTCGTCATTTAAATCATAAAATATAGATATCAGAGAAATAGAACTTATGTATTCGATATCATATTCACATTTTTGAACTATTATGTTTCATTATGCGTATATGGATTCTGGAGGTTAAATTTTCTGCAATTATGATACTAGTTACCAACTGTATGTATTATACATATTATTACAGGCATTTAGATTACACCTCGTCTGTTATGTGTTGCAAGATTGCCCGCGCTTATTAATTGACATTTTTTAAACATCTCTGCAAATTTGTAAATTTGTTGTAAATTTTCTATTCTGCTAATAAGAAAAAATTTATCGTAAACAATACGATAATAATGCATGTATTACAATTATAATATAAATGGATCACACCAGAGAAAATTGTCGTGCTGGAATTATATTAAGATCAAGACTTTAAGTCGGAACTTTAATAACGATTAATCAGTTGCTATTAATGCTGTTAATGTAATTGATTGGGAGACATAATATTAACATGTATCTTTATTCGATAGAAACTGTTGCATTGTAAGTTTAAAAAAAATGTAACACAATATCCGTGACAATAGAATTGTGAATCGAATAGATCACATTTATACTGTTCGAAAAGTTTGTAGCAAAACTTAAGGAAGATTTAACAAGAATTAAACTTTTCATCATTTGTAACTTCGCACGAGTCTCCTCGTGAAAAATTTTTTGATTTTATTTGGTAACGAGTCTCTTCAAATATTTAATTCCTTGACTGTTTAATGTTTAATTTATTTATAATAAAAATGTTACGAACTTTTTAAACAACTCGAATATATCACGACCTTTTTAAAAACAAATACAACAAAGAATAGGGAAAACTACGGTAATGTCACATTAAATGGCCAAGATCTTCGGTAACTGACCACTAGTATCTCTTACATATCTATAACTAACTATAAAATCACAATCCAATTAATGAAATACTTTTACATACAAAAGTACGAATAAGACAAATTTGTAACAAACTGTGCTTTAATCTGTCAGATACATTTACAATATACATTTACAATATATATATGTATATATTTATAAGATTTTAATATACCGCTTCCTTCCTCGTTTTCTTTTAGCAATAAGGTGGGTTAATGTATGATTGCGGTGTATTACACTTTGTTTCGTCCTCGTTCATAAGATACAGCACATACTCATGCTCGTTCGCGCATACACACGATATGTGCATACATACATCTTTCATTCTTCATTATGTCTCTACGATTTCCCGTTGTATTTTTATTCTTCTTCTCCTTCTTCTTCCTCTTCTTTTTTTTTTTTTTCTTTTAATCTACCGCGGACGACTCTACAAGGTATTCAACTTTGCAGATCTTTCTTTACATCGAGCACATCGTCTATGAAGGATATGTATTTTATATACAAAGAAACAAATGTTCTAGCTTACGCGCTAACGAATCTATATATTCTACATAAGATACACCAGCAACAGTGCGCTCGATATCGTACAGAAATCTTTTAAAAAATCAGACGTCACATATGATACGTATACACTCTACGTTTCTTGCGTGTCTAGTAAATTTCTTCATCTTTCCATTTTAGTCGATTATCTAGACCAACATATTTTCCACAGGCGAGATTAGCACGGTTATAAACGTGGACCATCGTAATCTTCTTTTTTTCTTTTTTTTTCGCGCGAAAAAATCAACTATCGAGTAATCTGTATCTCGAAGGGCAGATCGAGAAAGAAAAAAAGGGGGACATCATCGAGAGCGCAATAAATAGAGGAACTTTTGATAGAAGGTTACTTCCGGCACTAGCGACTCAACTTACGTCTAAGCTGTCGACTAGTCATTAGAAAAAAAACTATCAAAAATTCCTACAATAAAGTAGGCTTATCCTTTATATACATATGACTACATAATAAATTACCCACTTTAAAGGTAAATTCTTTTGTTTCTGTTACACCGTGTAAAAGTGTCAAAGATCCGTACAGTATTTATAAAAAAAGAAAGAAAAAAAGAAAAAAAGAAAAGGAAACAAATGCGAAAACTAAGAAAGACATGCCGATGAAAAGGCCAATCTGTTATTGATTTTGAAAAGCATTAAAAACATCCGCTGTTCGCTAGTCAATCGTTAAAACAATATTCATAAAAGGAGAGAGAGTTTTTTTTCTACTATTTGATGTTTTCCAGTTCATAATGTGTCGATGATTTTAAGGGATACAATAATCAAAACGTTCTTCGATCCTTATCATCACAGTACCGAGATTTTCCTTCGAAAAAACGATAAAAAAAAAAGAATGATGTCAATGATAAAAAAATAAAGCAGATAATCGAAAATTATATATCCGTCGGTGAAAAATAAATAAATTCCTCCGTTCAAAAAAGTTAAAAAAAAAAAAAATCTTCGCGATTCTATTATAACAAAGACCCTTATTCTTAGTCACATCGATTACAGGAAAGAAACATCGGTGTCATTTCTCTTTTTTTTTTTTTTCCCCTAAAAAGAAGAAAGTTTTGATTACAGTGTTGCAGACGAAACGATATTTACAATAAAAACCTGTCTCATCTGATAGCGAACGAAACGGCTTGATCGGCAAAACAAGTATCTACCGTCGTTGTTATCTCTCTCTCTCTCTCTCTGGTCAGAAATACCATTTCCTCGCGAGGACGGGGACGGTACATTCGCTAACGAAACGTCGTGTATAAACTTTCGAAAATGCTCGTTACAAAGATTTTAACGGCTAAAGCCAGGACGGTCGATGATGATGGGGTGGTGGTTGAAGTGCATACAGGGAGTGAATGTACTGTTGATAAGCGGTCGGGTCCATCGTCAAATTCGGCCCGTGAGGCGTCACGTATGCCGACACCGGTGGCCCGTAAGCTGCTGACCTCTGAGCGGAGTGGAGGAAAGGATGAGGCGGATAATTTCTCGGCGGTTGGTTGCTAAGCTTGTTGCAGGCTTGCTGCGTGGCATCGGTCACCGGCGGGACTTGTTGCTGCTGTTGTTGCTGCTGCTGCCTGAGCGCCATGCTGTAGTAACTATTCGGATTTCGAAACTCGTCGAGAAACGCGAACGCCGCCGCCGCGGCCGACGCATCCTTGTCGTAGAAAGGTGAACTGGTCGTGGTGCTGGTCGACGCAGCGAAGTTAAAGGCACTCCCAGTTGGTGGGACCATGGTGGTGTTCTTCAGACCGATCGAGTCCGCCGACGTTCCCGTGTATTGGGGGAAACCAGGTATACCCGCGCTGGATTGTGACTCCGTGCTGACAGCCGACGAGACGCTCGTCACATTCTGTTGCTCTTGCTGCTGTTGCTTGCTCTTTCTGCTCTTCTTCGTTTTCGTAGGCGCCGACGTTGAACCACCGGACGTTTCCCCGCTCCTGCGAGACGACGACGACGACGAGGACGACGACATCGATAGTATACCCTGCGTGTTCTTTGCAGCTGCCGTCTGTAAACTTTGAAGCAAATTCAGGTCAAGTTCCGGGGCACCGGAAGCCGGACTACGAGCGTATGCTAGGTGTTCCGATTTCGTCGGTGGTGGTCGAGGAATCGTCAACAATTGTTGCTGTTCCTTGCTCGTACGACCCACCAGACCTAGACCCAAACGGGCGTACGCTGGATTCGTTGCCACGGAATCGGCCAGGTTCCCGACGAACGTTGCGTCGAACTGACTAGCTGAAACTGTCTCCGGCTGCGGCAACGCCATTATAGGATCAAAGCCGAATTGCTCCTGGCCCGTTCTCGCCGCTGTTTCCTGCGTCAAGCCACGCGACGCTTCTGCGGACGATTCATTGTAAATACGTTTCTTCACCGGTGGCAAGTTACTCGTCGAACTGTTCGCTGCCCCGCTGTTGGTTGCGCTCTTCGAGCCAGCATCGAAGTAATGCGGGCTGGGATACACCGGCCGGGAGTTTGGCATCGGATAACCGGACGATTGGAAACCACCAGGATAAAGAGACTCGTGCGCTGTCAGGTTCTGTTGGAACGCAAGAATCTGCGACTGATCCTGCGTCGACAGTTGCTCGCCCGTGTTCGATGTTTTGCCGAGGAACGACCGCTGCTGAGCGTACTTCTGAGCGTTCAGAGAATTGCTAAGGTCCGTGAAACTAGGCCTCTCCTGAGACGATTGTTGTTGTTGTTGTTGTTGTTGTTGTTGTTGTTGTTGCTGCTGTTGCTGCTGCTGCTGCTGCTGTGGCGCCTGTTCCTGACCGCCGTGTGGTCTCGAAACAGACCTTTGAAGATCGACATTGGCGTAATTGTTGCCAAACGTCGGTGGATATTGGTTCGGCGACTGATAAATCTGATGATTCGCGTTTAGGTTCAACGACGTTGCCTCCGACGGTGTAGCGAAATTCCTTTGCTGCTCTGCGCTCGTCGGCTTCTCCGTGTTGCTGGACTTCAAATAATCCGCCCGGTGTTGTTCTGTGTCGTTCAACGTTGACGACGCTGGCGACTGAATGTACGAGTGGTTCTGCTTGTATCCGTGAGAGTAATTCAATGATGTCGACGTGGCCTGTGTATATTCCTCCGCAACCTTTTGCGACTGCGGCTGCGACTGTTGTAGACTGTAGTTTGTACTTTGTTGAGGAGACGGCTGCGAGTAACTCGAAGGCTGTTGCGAGGACTGTGACGCTTGCTGCGACTTTTGTTGAGGCGAGGACTGGGAATACGTGCGAGTTTGCTGAGGCGATGGCGCCGGTTGGGCGTAAGTGTGCGACTGCTGAGGAGATGGCGATGGTTGCGAATAGTTGCGGGACTGTTGAGGTGACGGAGACGGTTGAGGATAGCTTCGAGATTGCGAAGGTGATGGCGACGGTTGAGAGTAATTGCTCGGTGGTGCTTGCTGAGGTGACATCTGCGAGTAATTTTGTGGCGTTTGAGGCGAGTGTATTGAATGTGAGTAATTCGCAGACTGTTGCGGAGAAGGCTGGGAGTACTTGACTGGTTGTTGCGGCGACGGCTGAGAATATGGTGCATTCTGAGGCGAGGGTTGAGAATACGATGACGGTGGTGGTTGTGGAGAATGTTGAGGAAAGGTGTGAATTTGCTGAGGCGAAGGTTGAGAATAGTTCCGAGGTTGAGGCGACGGCTGGGAGTAGCCTGTGGTGAGAGGCTGAGGCGAGGACGACGTATAACCGGTTGAATGTGTCTGGGGCGATGGATGTGAGAAATTTGAAGGCTGAGATTGCTGAGGGTACACTGGAGGAGGTTGAGGCGATGGTTGAGAGTAATTGGAAGGTGGCTGCGGTGACGGCTGAGAATAATTCGCAGCTGGCTGCTGCGAAGGTTGAGAATAATTGGAAGGTGGTTGTGGCGATGGTTGAGAATAATTAGAAGGTGGCTGAGGTGATGGCTGAGAGTAATTGGAAGGTGGTTGAGGTGATGGCTGAGAGTAATTGGAAGGTGGTTGAGGTGATGGCTGAGAGTAATTGGAAGGTGGTTGAGGTGATGGCTGAGAGTAATTGGAAGGTGGTTGAGGTGATGGCTGAGAGTAATTGGAAGGTGGTTGAGGTGATGGCTGAGAGTAATTGGAAGGTGGTTGAGGTGATGGCTGAGAATAATTAGAAGGTGGTTGAGGTGATGGCTGAGAGTAATTGGAAGTTGGTTGAGGTGATGGCTGAGAGTAATTGGAAGGTGGTTGAGGTGATGGCTGAGAGTAATTGGAAGGTGGTTGAGGTGATGGCTGAGAGTAATTAGAAGGTGGCTGTGGCGATTGTTGGGAATAATTTGATGGCGGTGGTTGAGGAGACATCTGGGAATATCCGGACGATTGCTGTGGAGATTGTGCATACGGCGAGTGTTGTTGCTGTGGAGATGGTTGAGAATAATTTGGTTGTGCTTGAGGAGAGGCCTGGGAATAAGGTGAATGCGGTTGCTGAGGCGAAGGTTGAGAATAATTGGCAGCTTGCGGAGACGACTGAGAGTAATTGGCAGCGTTTTGTTGAGGAGAGAGTTGCGAATATTTGGGAGTAGCTGGTTGTTGAGGAGACGGTTGAGAATAATTTGACGGCGGTGGTTGCGGCGAAGGCTGAGGATATACCTGTTGTATGGGTTGCGGTGAATGCTGTGAATAAACAGGAGATTGACTCTGACTCTGAGAAGATTGCAACTGCTGATTAAATGGTTCGTTTTGCGTTGAATTTTGAGGAAAATTAGTTTGCGGAGATCGCTGAGGAAATGTCGGCGACAATTGATGATACATCTCCCCAGAACTTTCCTGAGGTGATTTCTGAAATGTCTGATGTGTTTGTTGGGCCGGTATCTGGGAATAGAGAGGTGCCTGTTCGTACGACGATGGATAGGCTGGAGACAGAGGATGGTTTTGCGGTGATGGTGTGGGAGGTAATTGAGCGCTGTATCTTGGAGGTGTAGCATAATAGGGGCTATTGTAAGGACTACTTCCTGTCGATAAAGCATCCTGATAAAATCCGGCTCCTCTAATCTGTGGCTCGACCGAAGCAATTATCGGTTGCCCCTGTGGAGATCGACCCGAGCGTCCAGGTGGTGATTCTTGGGAGAAACTCGAAACAGATTCACTTACACTACTACCACCAGTACTCATTCTTCTTTGTCTACCACAAAACACTTCCTGCAATTCAGCATCCTTCTTCGCTGTACCGTCCTCCGAGTCCTCGTCCTTCTTTTTCGACTTGGGCGCTCCGAACGCTTTGAACCAAGCACTCAAATTTGGCGTCGCTGCTTTGGGCTTCTGCGTGTCCTTCGCGCTAGACTGACTATCTTTAGACTCTTCTACAACCGCAGGTGTTTGCGTTGTAGTTACCCCGGACGTTTTCTCCTCCTTCAGATTAGACACCGGAACTGCAGGAAGAGTGTTGTGGTCTTCTTCTTCGTCGTCGTTTGAAAAATTAGGATTGGGCGAGGAAACTAAACTTTTACAAATTAACTGTATGGAATCTACGTTTTTCAAAACAGTTCCCAGGCTCAGTTTTGGTTCTTCGTCCGCATTTTTGTTCGTTTGATCATTGTCGTTGATCAATTGCACCGTCGTTTCAGCGGTATTAACGTTAGGCAAGTTCAATGGTTTCTTTAAAAGTAAATTTCCCTTACTTTTACCAGGTTGCAAACGGTCTATTGTACGCTGAATCTTTTTTGGTCTACTGTGTCCGTGAGGACCGAAGATTTTAATAGAACTTGGTCGTTTCCTCGGTGCTTCTATTTTCGGACCTGATCGACCAGATTCGACGGACGAAGAATGGAATATCGGCGAATCACTTCCTGAAGAAAATTCAGATAGTCTTGGTGCGTCATCTAACCATTTGTTGATGTCCTATTCGGAGATAAGAAAAACAAAGTGCGATTATATATATGATATTACGCCTATTTACATTACGTAAACGTAAACACGTGAAACATAAAATATTCTTACATGAAGTGTTTGCTCCGTCGCTTGATTCAATGCTTGCATGGAGCTTTCTTCTTTTCCGAATCCTTTGGTATGCTTCGACTGAGCTGCTTTTACTTTCTTAGTCTCAGCTACTTCTTGGTCTTGAGTTTTGACAAGATTTTCCGTGGTAGGAACTTTATCTTCTTTTATTCCCTTTTTTAACTTTGGTCGTTTTGCGTTGGGTTTATCGCTGTCGTGAAAGGTACTACCATTTGAAGGCACTTTTTTTGAATACATGTTGTGAAGGTCGTTCTTCCCAGTTCTCTTCTGTTTTTCCTTCTCGTTTTTCAACTTTTCCTCCCGTCGTCTTTCGCTTATTTTATCCTTTAAACCATCCAACGACTCTATATCTTTATCACCTATAAATGCAGAAATTTTCTTAGACGTATGTGTTTCTTTTGAATCTATATCGCTTTCTAGATCTAAATCTTTGGAATTCATTTCACTCGATATCTCCCCATTTCTGAGTTCATCACTTTTCTGTTTTAATTTTTTCTCCTTGTCCTTGGCACGGCTTTTTTCAGACTTCTCGTCAGATTTTAAAATCTTTAATCCCGTCTTTTCCCTCTTTCGATTTTTCTTAACTTTGATATGCTGAGTTTTCTCTTTATTCTCTGGAACTGGTTCACTTTCGTGAGATTCGGTTTTCTTCACTTTATTCTTCTTCGCGTTATCTGTAAATATTTCCGGCTCCTCGAGTTCCTTTTTTTCAATTTTTCTATTTTTACTCTTTACGACGACTAGAGGATCATAATCTTCCTCGAAATCCTCTTTTCGCTTCTTATTCTCCTTCGATTCTTTTACCTGCCGTACATTTTCCGTCTCTTTCTTCTGTTGATGACGTTCTTTACTAACTTTTCTATCTACTTTCTTAAACTCTTCTGATTCTTTGGGTGTCAGCTTTTTGGTTTTCAATAATAAATTATTTCCGTCGATAAGTTTCTTTCTTTTTGACGTTATGATACTCGATTCAGACATTGTTTCCTCACTCTCTTGCTCTTCCTGCTCTTCCTGCTCTTCCTGCTCTTCCTCGTTTACAAATTCTTCGTCCTTTGTTCTTTTACTCTTCTTTTTGCCTCTCTTTTTCTTTGGAAGTTTGTAATTTTTCCCTCGTTTCTCTTCTTCATCGTTTTTATCATTTGCTTTAGCCTTTCCTTTAGTTTCAGATTTGTATGACTTCGACTTTTTCGTAGATTTTTTCGAACGTTTTCTATTCTGATGAGGAGACGAAACGCGAGGACACAATGGAGACGTGGGAGTAGCAAGAAATGACTTCGGTGATGAAGGATCTTCATCACTGGATGTTTCCGATTCCAAATAACGTCCCACTGCTTTATCAAACGCTTCTTTAAGGTTGAATGCCATCTCTGTATATTCTATAATAATAACAAATAAAGATATTTAAGCTTAAAAAGTAACTATTAGCATTATAAAATATATAGCGTTAAAAATGAAAAGATACTAACCATTATCAGAACCATTATATTGCCTACAATTATCTACTATAAGTCGAAAATCACGTTTGAATTCACTTAAACTTTTATATAAACCATTTTCAAGTTTCTCTTCCATTGTACTAAGATCCATCGGTTTTCGTACCACGCTATAGTATCTATGTGAAACAATGACAATGATAATAACATCTGCACCTTGAGAAAGATTTAAAGTCGCATGTAGAAAATTTTATACTATACCTTGGGGCATATTCTTCATCCACAGGATCAATGAATGGCCAGGCATCCACATGATCTTTAAGACTTTCAAGAACTTTGTGCATTCCAACACGACGTTCTTCTTCCTCAATTCCAAACGAATAACCGTATTTATATCCATAATTAGAAGACACATAATTCCCATCGCTGTTACTCCCAATGCCTTTCTTTTTCTCTAATCCCTCCACTTCATCCCTAGTATGAATCACAATTTGACCAACAGCTGAAGCCAACGAATTATTAGTTTGCCGTCCTTTTTTCTGAACTGGCGGTGAAGGTAAAGGTGGAGGTGTCTCCTCTTTAACATAAACATTCTTTGAATTCTGAGTCCCTTTTTTACTCCCTTTGTTTGTTTTAGTTTTAATCTTCGATCTAACCATGACTGTTTCCATCTGGGTCGTGAGTTCGTGACTTCGAAGTACACGCGAACTATTACGTTGTAACAATTTGCGTCTTTGTTGCTTTTCTTTTAAATCAAAAAGTTTCGGGATTTCGGGCATGAAATTCTCGGATAGAGTACGGTAAAGTTTACGTTCGGTATCGTACTCCTAAGATATTATAATAATATCATTAGCAGAATCTAAAGAATGAAACAATTAACTCGTTTAATAGGACAATTACCGAATCACGAAATTTCTCAACTAGACGACTCCAATCCTGCTGAGTAAAACAGACAACCTGCCAAACACTTCCTTTCCCTTCCTCTTGTATTAAACTGTCTTCCTTCTTCTCCTCCTCTTCCTCTTCCTCCTTCGCCACTCTGTTTCGTCGTCTTTTACGTTTTTTATCCCTAGGCTTACTTTTCTGTTTGTGTGAGACGCTGTTAGAAGTATCAATGTAGTCCTCCCTATATAATCGAGTGCCGTAAAAGTACCAATAGGCAGAATTCTTACGATCATGTCCTAAAGGTTCGACTCGCAGGCTATCCGAGTCCAAATTACTTAATGATTGCTCCTAAAAAAAATTACAAACATGTAAATATACTTGCGACAATCTTTATAAATTGAATACTTTTTCTTAAATGTTTTTCTAAACACGTACCACGTCTTCAGCGTCAAGCCTGAAGTCGCAGAGAGCACGTAAGATTTCTACTTTTTGACGAAGTGGCAATAACTCAAAATCTACATCTGTGTTAAAAGGATTTTCACACTTGTATTCCTGAAGACAAAATGAAAGATGGGTTAATTTCAATGAAATATATAAATATGTCATGTACATAAAATGAAAGAAACAATTTACCTGACATTTCTTTCGAAAAAGTCTACGAAGAAACATCTGATAATTAAAGGTTGAGATGTCATTGCGAGTGTCATTTGGTAAACAACCTTCAAGCAGTCTGACTATTAGCTCCTGTACTAAATGTCCCTCAGTTCCACCATCCGTTAATAAAGCTTCTTCTAAATCCTAAAATAATGCACAATTAATATGTATACAATATGCTATCAAAAAAAATAAAAGAACTGATGCAACTATGACAAAAGAATGCATAAGTTTTTAAGAATGTAAAGCTGAAGCGTGGTCTATTAAACTTCCTGGAAGCTAAAGCGGTACTAACAAGTCTCATATACAATGCCTACTCATACGAATTGGCACTTGTAGGTAGGTACCTCAATATCAAAGTCCAGAAGATTGAAGGCAGCCCTAAATAATGAGCAGAAGTGTGCTATACTTGGCACCTCCCACCACGATTGTATGTCTAAAAAAATAAAGGAGTGTTCATATTCCTTCATACTGTACTTCTTTAATCTCTTGAATGTGATCTCTTTTCTTGCATTATTCAATATGCTTTAAAAATCATCAACTCTAGAACATTATCGCATAAAACTAAATGCATATAAGTATATAAATATAATGTAACTGAGAATTAGCTTCTATTTTAGCATCTATGTGTAATCTATGTTTACATAGATCTTAAAATTGCAGTCTATAAAAATACATTTATGTATATTACTTTTTAGACAGTTTTGATGAAGTGGTTGTGTATATTACTTTCTAATGGCTTTTTTCAAAATACATTTATGACATGTCTTTTCATTTATTACAATGTGTCTGTAAATCATATATTTTTCTGAAATATTAATTTTTATTTTATATTATACTTGCATCGTTATATTCAAACAATGTAAACATAATACTAAGTACTCAATATTTTGATGTGTGATGTTTTAGCGACATTAATTGACAAGAAACAAAAAAGTAATAACAGATTCCTCAAAATGATAGGGTCATTTCTAACAAAGCTGTGAAAAATAGAATTCACAAAATAGAATTCACAAAAGATAAAGTTTCAAACATCGTCATTTATTCACACCAGTGACAATTATCTACTCAATATAATTGATTTTTCTAACTCAAGAATAAAAATTTTCAATAAACAACAAACCAATTGCCACTCTTAATAAGAAAAACTACATTTCCAACAGAGAGAACAGAAGATTCTGCCCTGAAGTATATGACAGAGCAAGATCAGTGACTTAAAACAACAATACCAATAGTGGTAAAAGTACAAATACAAAGGCAGCCGTGCACAGGTAACTTGGACAGAACGTAACACAGTAAGAAAAAGAGGAGGAAAAAAGAAAAAAAAAATGAAATCGGATGAAAATGATTCTCTGTTGCTAAACTTGAGGTCATTGACAAGAGCTATCCAATCGTGAGGCATCGATCTTCCTGACAGTGCATAATAACTGCTATGTAACAATTAAGAGGGAACGTAAAATCCATGAGACATTTCATAATAACATGACAAGTTACGCTCTCATGACGTGCGGGTTGGCTCACCTAGAATTCCGATGAAAGTGGGAAACATAACCCGTCCTGTGGCGGGCAAACCGGGCGAATCACGTCAGGGCGGATAAAAGTTGTTGAAAACAAGTGCGACGAATTGCGTGTTGCCTCGGCAAATTTTTTTCCCCCCCCCCAGGCAAGACCTCTTTTTTTCGTTTCCCTTTTTCTTTCGTACGAAGCAGACCGCGATCCGAACCGAGTGTCACAAGAGAAGAAGTAAACGCCAGAAGGTGAACGAACAGCCAAGCAAAACAGTCTTAGCTCGGCTGTCTCGGAGCCGAATCCGGTTTTTTTAAAATACACGGATGCACACGTTTAGAGAGCTGTGATACCCATTGTCCTCGGCGAAACGGCGGTCAATCACAATTCCACATAACTTGTCCCGCCTCCGTTAAACGGCGGACACCAGACGTACGTTCGCACTGGTGGTCATCCAAGGTACAGCCACCGCCGACTTTATTTTGGCTGCGCGACGACAACACTGTACGGGCTGCCAGCGATGCGCGCGACACTAGCGACCATTCTAATCGGGGTAACACTTCAGCCGTCTGAAAACAACCACTGGAAGCCTCTTCCTCGCCGATAAACCAGCGCACTAATCCGAACTCGCGGCCACATCAACGCGAGGGCGAAACGCGTCCACTGTGCGCGTACGTTCCACCGCCACGATAATTTTAATTTTCCACTGGTTTTGAAATTCGATTTCGTGCATGCGTATGTCTGTGTACGCGCGTACGGATGTGTGTACATGCACGTGTTTGAGCACGTACGTGTCGTGTGTGTTGTGTCGACGAAACAGACAGTTTCCTAAGACGCACTACGCGAACACACGGGTGCAGACTGTGCAGTGGCAACTGCATACTGCGGGCGTATGCCTGAGAGCATGGAGTATATAGATCTCTCAGGAGGGAACATTTGGCGGGAAACTCGCTTGATCAAATTGTTGATGTAGTTGTTACCGTGGATGGTTTGTCGATCATCAAATAAACGATCTTACTTGACTTTTTGATTTTGATCTGTTCGACGCGACGTTCGTTCAGTCGGATTAATTTAATTGATATTATCGCGTGGACTTTCTTTGAATGAAGAAGAAATATCTTCAAATTTGGAATTTCAATTTTGAAACTTGAATCTGTTGCAAGGAGTATTAATTGATTTAATATTTTAATATTTTAAAGAAATTTCCCAATAGATGAAATAGTTTCGAAATTCTTAATTAATGTGAAAATTAGCGTCTTAGCGCTAATGAAAGAATGAAGAATTATTTACATGTTAGTAGCTAGTAATTAATGATTGATATGAATCATAATTCTTTGTTAAAAAGAGGAATATGATGTGTGTGTGTGTGTATGTATATATATATATAATTTTTAATTTATTATATATATATATATAGAAATAAATTAAAAATTGAAATTTAATAAATTAAAAATTCGCGCTAAAAATATTAAGGTAGATTCAACATTTGCAGCGTGTTAGGGCAAACACACATGTGCATTAATTAATGAAAGGAATCTTTTATGAATAAAAATATATGAATAAATTATAATCGATAATGAACAATACCACTTATCTTGTAATATTATGATAAAGTTGCGCATACGTTCTCACATGTATTAATTACATTACAGTTTACACTTTTCCATTTACGTATCTTTCATATTTTCCTATATCTTAGGAGTAGTAAATATTTACTATATAATGAACTATGCTAGATAAGTAGATTTCATTACGGTATTTTTTGCTTTTCGTTGTAACATATACATACGTATATAATAAGTATGTACATATCATACGATACGTAACACGATAAATTAATTTTTTAACAGTTGGTATATGTCTCCCGCGTTTACTAACGCACAGTGACGCGTTTCGTTTGTACTATGAATAGATGCCGAAATTAAGTGTTGAAAATTGGTTAATTTGACACTTAAAAAACGAAAAAAAAACATTGACACAATTATAATCACGTAGAGTGTGATTAGATTTGAATAACGAACAATGTCGTCGTTCGATCTGAATGATCTTGGAGCACAATTAGAAGACGTTGCTCAAAGTAATGCTAGTGGTGTATCTTTCGCGAAGCAATCGCTCAAACTTGACACCGAGAAAGATGGTAAATTACATATTTTAAACATCTTTTAAAAAAGAACCATAGTTATATAAACACTTTGAAGGTTATGCAAGCTTAATCCTTCAATTTTCTGTTTGACCAGCATTGGAGATAGTTAAAGCAATAAGAGCGTGTACAAATTTGGAATATTTAGACTTGGAGGGCAACACTTTAGGACCGCTTGCTGCCAAAGCTGTGGCGCAAGCACTGCAAGAAAATGGTTCGTTAATGAAACGAGCCCTTTGGAAAGATATGTTCACTGGCCGCGTAAAGACTGAAATACCAAAAGCTCTTGAATATCTTGGCTCTGCATTATGTACTGCTGGTACACGTCTCTTTGAGCTTGATTTGAGTGATAATGCTTTTGGCCCAATTGGTATTAAAGGACTAGCCAATTTTTTGACTTCCAGTTCTTGTTATACTCTTCGTGTATTGAGACTAAATAACAATGGACTTGGAATATCTGGTGGTAAAATGTTGGCAAAAGCATTATTAGATTGTTATGATAATAGTGCTCAAGGAGGTAAGATCTATTTTTTCATGCTGTTAATTGAAGTATAAACAAATAAATATAAGAACTTTCTTTTAGGATCACCTCCCTTAGCACTACAAGTGTTTGTAGCTGGAAGAAATAGATTGGAAAATGAGGGTGCAAAGGCACTTGCATCTGTTTTCCAAAAGTTAACCAGTTTAGAGGAAGTTGCTATGCCTCAAAATGGTATATATCATGAAGGTATAACGGCAATAGCTAATGGATTGTCTTCTAATCCTAAATTGCGAATTTTAAATCTCAATGATAATACTGTTGGACTAAAAGGAGCTCAAGCAATTGCCAAGGCATTGCCAAATTTCCAAAATTTAGAACAACTTAATCTTGGCGATTGTTTACTCAAAACCCAAGGTGGTGTAATTTTGGCAGAAGCACTAGGAGTTGAAGGAGGTTATCCGTTACTCACAGAACTTAATTTAAGTTACAATGAAATTGGAACCAAGGCTGCTAATTCTTTAGCTCTTGCTGTAGCAGACAAAGATCATCTTGTAACCTTTCAATTGGATGGAAATTTGTTTGGTCAAACTGGTCGTACCATTTTGCTCGATTCGCTCACAGTTTCTGAAAGAATTGGATCATTAAGTATATTGAGTGATAATAGTGACGACGAAGAAGACGACGAAGAAGACGATGAAGACTCTAATGACGAAGATGAAGAAAACGTAGAGGAAAATGAAGAAGAAAATGAAGGAAGTGATGAAAAAGACGATGAAAGTGAGGACGAAAGTAAAAAAAATAGGGACAATAATGAACATGCATTTATAAATAACACTACATTATCAAAAGTAACAGTCGAAGAGTTTCTAAAATCACCAACAGGAGAAAAATTATTATTATTACAAGGTGACGTAGTACAAGATTTTGTAAGTTATGCCAAAGTGAGTAAATAACATTACAGTTCTATTAACATTGTCAGTATTGTAAATATTATGTTTAATATTCTTTCTTTTTTCTTTATTTTAGGAAATATCAAAACGTAGTAAGAATACATCTTCGCAATTGAAATTCATTGAAGAGTTTACAAGAATAATTATGAAAGTATCAGCACTCAGTACAAGTGGTTATATTGATGTGAGATTAAAATCTCAAAATCTTACAGATGCTTTGTACTCCAAGTTATGCATTTTTGCAATGCAAAGTAATCAGGTTCCTACTTGGAATAATGCATTGTTAGTCAATTTAGGTTTAATAAAAGTAAGTATTTTATAATATGTAATATACATATGTTTTGAAAAGTTCTAATATTTTCTTTTCTAACATTTTTTTTCTCAGGCTGAAGATAAAAATAGTGGAAAAATTGATTGGAATTTGGAAGGATGTTTCAAAGCGTTAGAAATAGTTAGTCAAAAAGATTACTTTCTACAAGAAATACGAACTACATTAATTTTCTTTTTACAAAAGCCAATAAAAATGAACAGAATGAAAGTTGTAGATTCGTTTCAACATTCGAAAGACTCTCTTAAAGCTGCTTTATGTCGTATCCAAAATACATAATAATTGTCAATTTTTTATACAATTGGTTTATAGAATATCGATATATGGGATATATATAAATTTATTTTTAAATGCTTTGCAACTTGTAAAAATACAAATTATAAATTTGTGAAAAATAAAAATGTTGCATTAAATTTTTATAAGTTTTTTTATATATAAATAATTACATTATTGTGCATATTGTGATTTTCTTTTTTGTCATCGAAGATACAATTGTCAAGATTTTACTAGACTTTAGTAATGAATATAAAAATTTTAGTTAAAGATAAGAATACAATATTCTTATCAATTTGGAATATGAAAAATAGACTGAAATTCGTATAGAATAAATAACTTATCGATAAAATTTAACATCAAATGCATCGAATATGATCAACTCTCAAGAGTTCCTATTATCATAAGAATAAGAATTTTGAATAAAGCTCCTAGTAATTAGTCAATTATAATATCACGAAATTTTCATTCTGTTATGGACAATGTGGATGCTGGATCCCAACCAGGTTGAAACAAATCCACTGCTAACGGTGTACAATGCGACGACGACTGATCCTTCATATACATTGTTGCCTAAAATGATACAAATACAAATTATAGCAAATGTTTATTTTATACATTTTTTAATTATATTTACATACAAGAAATAGAATAAGTTGTTGTTTTGTCTTAGAATCACAGTCTTCTCCAAGCGTGCAAGGGTACTGTACTGTACCACCATTCTTCTCTATATCTGCTGCAATAAGTTCTAAACATTGTTTTTCATCAACCTCTACTGTTTCGATTATTGATTCTATAAAAAATATTAACATATGTTATTGCGTTGTAATATTGGAGGATCAGCTTGAAACCCACAATGATTTCTTACTTCTATTAGATATATCTGCAGACAAAAATTTCACTAAAAGTACAGCACATTCTGAGTTCTCCATAAAGAGATGTGAATAACGTCGCATTAGAAGTTTTGCAAGCAACATGTTACCTCGGTTTCCTGATAAACTATTACCGCTAGGAGTACATACTACTTCATCTTCTGTTCTTCGTATAAGCAACACTGTACCATTGTATCTTGAAAAAGAAGCAAAAATTATATATGAATTGTTTATATATGTATAATACTTCAATAAAATGTTATAGTACCTATTCAATTGCTCAGCAATATTCAAATTGAAATAGTCCCTAATAATGTTTCGTACCAAACCTTCTAATGACGAGAACATCATAATAGCTAATGGAAGTACATCATCAAATGTAGCATCTAATACCTATAAAGTGTATTACTATAATTTTTTTTTATACATTAAATTCATTTTTTTCAAATACTTAAAATATGTAAACTTATTTGAACTGAATTGAAATATAAAATGTGAGATGTCGTGATCTTACCAAACTTTGAATAGAAGGATAGTTCATAGCAGCCCATGTTGCAGTGTATCCACCAATACTCCAACCATAAAGAATTATTTGTTCCTCAGGGAATTTTAAGTGATCGATTGCGAAGCGCATTACACAATCGATAGCATTTTCTTCTTGAAGAGGATACGGCGCACCCTTTGTGGTCATTTTCATGTCTTACTGTTACCATTTTTTAATCATAGTTTGACTGAAGGAGAAGTCTTGCCATTACTTCAATAACATTTAATTTACATACATGATTGATATTAACTGCAACATTGCCAAAAATTTCATCTTTGCAATTCGAAATGATATAATAAAGTAACAGCAATTCTTCTCATCAAAATATCAGTGTAAAAAAAATTATGAACTTTAGTATAAAAAGAATACTTACAGTACTGCTACCAAAACCTGGGTGATTCCAACCCAATATTGAATATCCTTTGCTCATTGGCGTTGATATAATACCAGTTTCATAAAATCCACAATTCCCTTCGCAAGTGATAACTAGCACATCGCCATTTGTTTTCCTGTAAAATCAATATATAAAATAAATAAAAATAATATATCATGAAATAATACATTTAGAAAAAAACATTACTAGTGTTTACATTACTTGTTACGTCGGTCAATGAATATAGCATCAATTTCATTATTATCTGCAGCTAATAATTTGTACCTTTCGCCACCATGTTTTACTAAATGTATTCTTCCTTTCAGAAGTGTTGATCCTACATTAATAATAGATAAATATTAATGTCAATAAATAAAAAATAATATTCTTCATTAATGGTGATCTATTCAACTTACGGAATGCCCAGTTAAGAATTGTCACACTTCCAGGATACATCATTTTAATGGCAAAAGTGTGAGCTACAATATATGATAAAAACTTACAAGGCAATGTACATATAAATTCTTTACCAGTTTGCCTTTTTATGCGACCACTGGAGGCTGCAATTTTCTCTAAAGTTAATTTCTCTCTAGCTGAATCCCTGTAAATTTACATTCATAAGGTTATAAAATCAGATACATACTATTTATCAATTAGTTAGTTTGATAAAAAGAAGGATACATACTTTTCTACATCTTTAATATTAAAATCTACAGGTCTTGCCCAAAACTCAAACTCGTACTTGTCAAGTTCTTGTTTTGTTTCTGCTGAATAATGTGCATTTGCTTCATAAAGAGTTTTCAAGAATTTTAAATATACTGGATTAGTGGCTCTAGAAAAACTTCGAGCAGCTAACGATGCAATGAAAATCGCGCTAGCACTGGCTGCTAATTTACTCAAAGAAAAAATATTCTCAGTTATGGAACTGCTATGTTCGTAGAAAAAGATAGCCACTAATGGAATTGTATATAGACTTATGGACCAAATTGCTGCAAACTGAAATGAATTTGTTAACGTTTTATAAACAACTTTCATTCTTACCGATTAATTTTATAATAAACAATTATAGTAATTAATAATGACAAAGTTAAAAATTTCTAATGTGATTTGTCTCTTAATAAAATACTCACGCAGATTACGATTTGATCACCCCATCGTTCTAGACTATTAGGCTCATATGATTTCTGTAATAAATTGAATTAATACAGACATAACCTAAAAATACATTGATCTAATGGATTTCGTGTAATGATCAATAAATACTTCTACTAGTCGGCCGATCCATGTTATTTCGTAAACCTTGAAAAGTCGAGGACCAAAGTTACACTTCCAAAGTGTCCGAATGAAAGACATTTCTCATTTGTTTCAAATATTTTCAAATAAATCAGCGTTCCGGATTATCAGTGTAAAACACGGAATACGCAACTTAGCAAATCATGCACATGATATAAGAAAACAAACTTTTACGATTGGTAATGCATTTCTTGAATACATGTGTGCATTCTGGAGTTAAAAAAAAAAACACTGTCATATTACTCACGATGTATTCATCCTATACTTTTTCTTACATGACAGTGATAATAATTCAGATATAATTGTATTGTTAAACATTGTAAAATTTATATGAACTTCTAGAACTGACTTAAGAAAAATATATATTTCTGGCGAGTGTTTAAAAAAACAATTTAAAAAAATTTAGTTACTTTATTATGGTATGAAGAGAATCTATATTTTGATTAGTAATTAATTTTTCGTTCAAAATTATTACTAGATCTCAAGTATTTAAGTTTTTATATGTTTAGAAACTTAATTAAAGAAATAGGGTTTAAATAGAGACTTAAATAGAGATTTGTCTTATTGGTTAAAAAGCTACTGTAACTTTTGATATTTTATAAATCTCGCATGTTACGAAAGTTCCATACATTTTTGTACAAACATGGAAAGATTCACAATTCATTTATTGCACATTTCCAATTGTTCAATATATTTTTTGTCAAAATTATCTCTATCGGACAGATAGGAAAATCAATAGAACAAGAAACATTCATACAATTAGTTATATATATGAAATTGTTACAATTTTAAATGATATATTCACAAGTTATTTAAACATCGCGGTCATTCAATCACGTACAACACATATGATTTTACATAACAAACAGATATGCTCTGGTTGCAGGAATTAATACCTAGTAAATTTTAAGTAAAAACTTCGATAGTTTGAGTGAATGAAAATTAAAATTGATATTCTGAACATGCATTTGAAACAAACTGCAGGAAATTGCACAATTTGGATGTCGGTCGATTCTGGCATCGTACATTAAATCGTGGTTTTTGGAACGTGTAGAGAAGTTACTGGAAGATTCAGAGCAAGCACGATAGAGGATACGAGTATATTGCGTACGACGTTGATAATACAATTTTCCGTTTTTATCGGCGTATTCAACTTTTTTCAATATGTCAGACTGGGACACAACTCCAATTACTCTACGGAAACGTCCCCCGAAAGCTTCAGTACTTAAATCGGAACAGGTAACTTCATGACAAACATTTTTCATTTATTTATTTCGTCCGAAACGATTCCCACAATGTAACATATAACGTAAGTTGTATTTATTTACAGGCAGTGAATGCTGCGCGTCGTCAAGGATTCGTGGTTGAAACACAAGCAAAATGTACGTGGATTTGATTTTGCCCTGAGATTTAAATCGTTAATTCCTTGATCTCTTTCTGTTTGGTCAGTGGTACATTTCATACGTTAAAATATCACAAGAATCACATATTGTGATGTAATACAAGACGCTGTTTACAATTTCTTTTACGCAACGTTACAAAATCAACAAGCGGATTGTTTCTTTTTTCGAGTTGTAAGGATAAATAGTTTATATAAATTTTTTTTTTGTTAGGGGGTGGAGGTACAAATAAACAACATGTGGCAACTAAAAACACTGCTAAATTAGACAGAGAAACAGAAGAATTAAAACATGACAAGATTCCTCTCGATCTTGGTAAATTAATTCAACAAGGAAGACAAAGTAAAGGATTATCACAGAAAGACCTCGCGACAGTATGTTATTTATATAAATGATATAAATAGTTCCGTGATTATATAATGTATATTTACACATATTTATTTCCTTTGTGAGTAGAAAGTGAATGAAAAAGCACAAGTCATCAATGATTATGAAGCAGGTCGTGGAATTCCAAATCAAATGGTGATTGGCAAAATCGAGAAAGTATTGGGAATCAAATTGCGTGGTAAAGATCGTGGTAAACCATTATCACTTCCTGGGAATAAAAAGTGAATCTTGGAAGGAAGGATCTGTACTTCTTACCTTTATATATTGTTCCCTACACAGAACTGCAAGTTAAATTGTAGGATTGAGAACAAATTTAACTCTCTTCACCTTTGATTATTTTATTATATATTTTAAAATAAAATATTATTTTATTAAGTATACTACTGTGTATTATAAAGTAGGTTATTGCAGTATGCCTTTGTGTACAAAGTATAAGAAGCACACTTTGTTTAATTTTAAAGTGTTATATATGTGTTCAAGTTTGCAAATATTAATTTATAACTTATAATTTTGTGTACCGTTTCGTTGTATTTTCAAAATACATCTGACTATTGTTATTGTGATATACATTTATGGATAATGTTTTACAACTTGGTTAATGTAGGCTAAATAAAATAGTATTAATGCAAATAGAAGTAAAAGGTCTATATGTGTATGCATATGAATCATTGGTTTGATAGCATTTATACACATACATACACACTCATTTCAATGTATAATATTATACAAATCACAATAGTTGTATATAAAAGATAAGAAATTATTAAATAAATATTAATTGTACTTTTTTAGCGTTAACTTTATTCATATTAAAATTTGATAATACATAAATTTTACCTTGGTTCATTAATCTTTTCTTAATTCAAAGGTTGAATCCTGTACACCATCTTTTGTTATAATTTTGATATTTATAGAATCACCAGTGTAAATATCTCTTTCTGCTGCTGATGTGAAAACATCCTTTATAATTGCAACAGCTTTTTCTTGAGTTAAAGCAACAGGCTCAACACCTTCTTGATTTTTATATCCAATCTAAATAAATGAATTACTGTAGTAAGTGGCTACAATTTAATTGAATACTACTGAAATAAACCTACTGTTTCTTAATACCTGATTGTCCAGCAAAGGTTGCAAAAGGGCTCCAGCAGAACCCCCTGCTCTATACTTTGTTACTTCACAATGTCCAATGGGATCATAACTATATACGCAACCTTTACCATCCTCATCTAATCCACCAAGAATGTTGCTCACATAATAAGGAAAGAAACGTTTGTAATACAACATTGTTGATAGCATTTGTGCAACCGCTAATGTTGGCATTTCCTTCTGATGCTCATGTTCATACATCTATTGTGAAAGAAAGAAAGAGATTAGCATGACAATTATCTTAAATGTTAAATTTCGGTAATCAGAGATGAAATCTTTGAACTATATCGAACTTTACCTGCATTCTTGCAGTTAAAAGTCGGGTCAAAGTAAGTGTGTCGCACCAACAACCTGAGCAACCCAAAATAGTTTTAGATGACAAAGGGAAGAGCTTTTGTTGTTCACGCGTATAAATGGAAAACCCAGTACTAAGACGTGTGTCCGCTGCTATCACGCAAAAGTCATTTCCTGCAAGAGCTATGACACTCCTATAATTGTAATGCATACAGTAAACATATATATGTGACACAATAACTTAATAATTGTATATAAACAATTTGTAATACAATTTTTTAATTGCAAATAATTTAATAATTGAATGATTACATCATTTTAAAAATAAAAATATATATTTATGACAAAAATATATAAATATATAAACATTTTGATTCATTAAATGTTAAGAAGATATAGGTTATGTACAGCTTACCCTCCATTGTCAGCGTACGGACTAAAACTTTTCATTTTTGTTGCTTGTGTCTCGTAATCAGGTAAGGATCTTCCTGAATTTTCACTCAAAAGTGCCATTTTCTTTATTGTTGTCTTGTTAACGAAATCGTCGACACTTTCCTCCTGAATGACAATTCACTTTGCGGCAAATATGGCAAATTGCGCTTTTCTCACGCATGACATGCAAATTGCCATACTTGAGAGTGGTTAGTTCATGTTCGTCTATGTGAGAACACACCAATAGCAAAAAGATTCAATTTTGAATTTTGCAAAGCGTGCCACAAAGAGACAATTACAAGAGAAATATAAAATATATAACCTTCAAATTATACTTCATTAATTGACTGATGCCAATCCCGCCAATTTTGAAAATATTTTTATGACGCGCATTATTCATTTTGGATTATTATTATTTGGAGTTAGTTTGTAATGTTTGTAATGTTTGAACGTTTTCGAACGAACAATTGAATATCAAAGTTAGTATATTGAAAGGAAACTGAAAATTTGTTAACAGGTTTTCTTTTTTTCAGTGGAACTAAATCATGGAATTAAATCAAGAAATTTTATATTGTAATTCGAACGTTTACTTTATCTTATTCATTTATTGGACATATTTATATATTAGTTATATTATTTATAGTATTTATATATCATGTATTATAGTGTTTATATTATTTATATAGTATATATATTTATATTATAGTATCTTACATATCTTATTATTATCTTATTATTATTTATATTTTATGAAACTTACTCAAAAAACGTGGTCGAGAAGTCAAATACTTCAGAAGCTTGTAAAAAGAAAAAGACGAGTATCTTTGCTACTGAAAAAGACGAGTAACTTCTCACGAAAAAATTCTTTTTGCTATAAATTTTTTGGAAGATCTAATAATTATTTCATTTTGCTTCTTTCAAATATTGATATTCAGCTGTCTTTACATGAATTACTAATTTTCAGAATTTCCGTATCTTTGCTTCACGCTAGTAAAATTTTTGGTATAAGTTCTTCTGTTAAATGACCTCTTAAGTTTTATCCTAACTCACTAATTAGCAAACAGTTTTAATCAGAGTAAATAAAAAATACATATACAGAATGTCCCGTAACTGGTGATACAACCGAGTAGGATGTGATTCTACGTGAAAAAACAAGTCGAAAAAAAAGAATAAAATATTTTCATTAAAGCCTTTGTTTTCGAGAAAATCGAGTTCGAAGATTTATCAAATATTACGAAGTAAATTTAGTTAATTCCGTATTGGATAGGCGCGAGTAATCAACACTAGAATATTTCATGTGCAAAAACAAGCATAGAAGATTTTTTCGTTTAAGGTATCATTTTCAAAAAAATGAACTTTGAATATGTTTGATTAATTTTTATTAAAATATAAAAATATTTTTATTTGATTATTTTTATTTGATTAACTTTTAAATTCAATTTTCTCGAAATTTTGTTCCACATTTTTTACTTTAACACGTAGAATACACCTGTCAATTATTCTTCTTTATCGCGTCTAGGATAAATATTTAAATTTGACTTTCTTGAAAACGAAGGCTTTAATGAACAAATTTTATTCTTTCTTTTCGACTCATTTTTTTTCACGTAATGTCACCTGTTACTCGGTTATATCACTTATAATTAGTTATGGAACAACACCCTGTACAATCGTTAGATCAAATAATAAAATGATCAAGTCGAAGTAGTTCGATGTAAATTCTAAATTAAATATTAATTCTTACTTCTACATCTGTACAAACCAAAAATTAGAATAAACAGAATGTAGAATTTCTATTGGTTATCGTGTCTAGTCTAATTGTATATATTGAGGTTTCAAGCTGGCAGCCGAATGTATCACACACGAATGAATATAACAAATTATCTTATCGAAATTGATAACGTTCGGACTAGTTGGCAAAATTCGGCGAGATTCCGAGAGGATAAGACAATTTTTTGGTAGCAGATCGAAATGGCAACTGATGGCAAGAGACACGTAGCACTAATCACTGGCATTACCGGACAAGTAAGGTTGACGTTTCGTATTTTGTCGACATACACCGACTTACGAATGGATTCGAACACTTATTGCAAGAAACTTTTATTTACGTATATTTGTTCCATAGAACATTTTCAAATTTCCTTAACACTGTAACCTGTTGTCCTCAGCATGCTGAACAATAATTGTATTGTAAGATATATTAAAATAACTCTGAAAATATATATATATATGTTAGAAAATATTGCAAAATATTTACTGTCAATAATATATATATATATATAAAAAGTTCATTATGCTTATAAAGTACAAATTGCCATCTTAAAAATGTAAAAAACGTCAAGTACAGAGGCTTGTTAATATTTAATTCACTGTTTAAATATTTTTATGATCTATTTGTACTACATGTCATGGTAGCTTTCATGTACTAGCATAATTATACTAATCAAGTTTTGTTATATTATTAATAAAATTTGAAATTGTTTTATATGGAACATCCTGTAAGTTTTAACAGCTATAATTATTTTAATGTATATATTTCAAGTATATAATTTTTCCAGAATATATATTAATTATTTACATGTTATATAGAAATTAATATAAAGTAAATTATTAATATTATATTGTTATATTTTCTTTCTAGGATGGTTCCTACTTAGCTGAATTTTTATTGGAAAAAGGATATGATGTGCATGGTATAATCAGAAGAGCTAGTTCTTTTAATACCGCTAGGATTCAACATCTATATGCAGATCCAAAATGCCACCGCCAAGGCAAAATGAAACTTCACTATGGTGATATGACAGATTCCAGTAGCTTAATTAAAGTAATTAGTTCTGTACAGCCGACAGAAATTTACAATCTTGCTGCTCAAAGTCATGTTATGGTATGTACCTATTGTGATTATTTTATTTTATGATTATTTGAAAGAATTCTTTTGTTAATGTATTATTACATTCTTGTAGGTAAGTTTCGAAGTAAGTGAATACACTGCTGAAGTAGATGCAGTAGGAACAGTTAGATTATTGGATGCAATACGTACCTGTGGTCTTGAAAAATCTGTAAAATTTTACCATGCATCAACATCTGAGCTTTACGGCAGGGTGACTGAAGTACCTCAAAATGAAAAAACTCCATTTTATCCTCGTTCACCATATGGTGATTATGTTACATATCTTACATTCAATTTCATAAATCTCAAAGTGACATTAAGTTCAATGTATTATAATTTCAGCTTGTGCAAAATTATATAGCTTCTGGATTGTGGTAAACTATAGAGAAGCATATAATATGTTTGCATGTAATGGTATATTATTCAATCACGAAAGCCCTCGTAGAGGGGAAAACTTTGTTACAAGAAAAGTAACTAGATCTATAGCAAAAATACACTTAGGTTTGCAAGATGTTCTGGAATTAGGAAATTTAGATGCTAAACGAGATTGGGGACATGCAAAAGATTATGTTGAAGTAAGAGAGACATGTATTATTCTTAATAATGGGAACACTTAGAAAATCTATTAAAATTTGTACATTCAATAGGCGATGTGGTTGATGTTACAACAGCCAATTCCAGATGATTATGTTATAGCAACAGGAGAAACACATAGTGTCAGAGAGTTTGTGGAAGCAGCGTTCCAATATGTAGGTCGCACTATTAAATGGGAAGGTGAAGGTGTAAATGAAATAGGACAAGATGCACAAACAGGACAATTATTGGTTAAAATAAATCCTAAATATTTTCGTCCGACGGAAGTAGTAAGCATTAATTATTAAACAGTAATTACGTTATAATAATATTATAGACAAGTGAAAAATATTTATTTTTATTCCTATAGGACGTACTCCTGGGTGATGCTAGTAAAGCAAAAGAAAAAATTGGTTGGAAACCTACTGTTACGTTTGAGGTATTTATAAAAATTATTAACGTAATATTAATATATAATTACTGGCCACGAATTCTGTGTCTAATAAGAAACATTGTTGTAGGGTCTTGTTAAGGACATGATGGATTCTGATTTAGAACTAATGACGAAAAATCCAAATGCTTAAAATCATTTCTTATCAGTGATAGAAGTGCATTTTCAAAATACATTTTATGTCTCTGTGAGACAATAATATTAAGTAATATATTTACTATACATAATGTAAGAATTCTAGATGTCATTTTGTAATATTAAGATATTCCTAAGTAGACATAAACAAGCTTTTTACTACTTGCAGGTATTCTATCATTTAAGATATTAAAGAAATATCTTTATATGTTATCTGAACTAGGATATATAATTATATACAATAATATGTAATATATGTGGATACTAAATGTTATTTAATTTCATTAGATATAATCTACATATATCATATATTACATTATAAATTTGTTATTTCTTGTTTACTAATGTATATTGGAGAGTACATTCTGGATATTATAATTTTCTGGTGTAGACTACTTAAAAATAATTTTAATTACTGATAGATGGCACAAAGTTATTGAAATAATTTTTATATACAACAAGTCTTCCTTGTATATACATTTTAATTTTATATATAAATGTACTATATTTTAAATTAATCGTTAAATATTTTTAATTTTTATACGCAATGTGCGATATATAATTAAAAATGTAAGCACATTTTTGTAATAAACAGCATTCATTCGTTTTCATATTGCACTTAAATATTATCAATAATTTTGATTCAGTGTATCGGAGAAATTATTTATTTTCATATTAAAATACATAGTTGCCAGATATTCAAATGGGAGATTCATTCGTAGATTTTCGCAAAATATTCTCGATCGTAAACATCATCGACTTTACACAATGCCCCTGAGCTTCTGTGCATTTTATTTTCCCATTTCGTGTATTCTCTTCAGTGTTTTTCTCCATTGTGTCATATTTCTGTTCCCCGTGTTTCGAATTAGGCAAGATCTGCGTCGAAATCTAAAATGACAATGTATAAATTTATTAAAAACATATAATCATCTTCCACATCTGAGAACAGTTAACATAAAATTTTTTAAGGAAACGATTAGTCGGTTTAATTTCGCATACCGAAACCACCGTGTGATCGTGTTCCTGCTTATCTTGCGTTAATCCTCGTTGTCTTCTCATTCTTCTTCTTCTATAATTACCGTGCTCGAACATTTCGCTTGCAGAAGGATCTAAAGTCCAATAACTTCCTTTCCCAACTTGGTCATCTTCATTATCATTTCCAATTACTTTATCTCTTGGTATCTTCACGAAACAATCGTTCAAGCTCAGATTATGTCTTATACTATTCTGCCATCCTTGACGATTTTCCCTATAGTAAGGAAATCTATCCATAATAAATCTATAAATCGCTGAAAGGGTGAGTCTTTGTTTAGGCGAAGAATTGATTGCCATGGCTATTAAGGCAATGTACGAGTACGGCGGTTTCTCATAGCGTGGCTGTGGTTTGTATCTTATCAGAGGGAGATCCCATGAAAGAGGAATGCTCCTCGAAGTCAGTACATCCGGGACCAAGCTGTAGTAAGTTGGCAAAGGGCACATCGTTGGAAATGCTTCTTCTGTGTTCCAAAACTCATAACTCCTGCGTAAATCACAGCTGTAAATCTTCGACACAGAGCAGGGATGGTTTTGATAGCTGTTGGACTCCATTGGAAGATGATACGATCAGAACATTCGACGTTACTGCGCTTGCTATCAATATTTTTTTTTTCACTTTACGAGAAATTGAAATTTAGTATTTGATTTTTCAACTAATTATTACTTGGATTAGTGAATTATATTTTTCGAGAAAGTTATCACAGACTCGAAATCTTCGCAGTTTTATAAAAATTTACTACCTTCTTCCTCTCGCTTCTTCATGTTCTTAGAAATCTTCGTTTGTCTTTATTTTCATTATTTATCATTTCAAACCTTCGACAATCTATGCTTCAAAAGTATGAATATTACAGTTTCAAAACTATGTTTCATATATTACAGTTTCAAAACTATGTTTCATACAAATACAATTTCACAAGTAAATATTCTAAATCGCAAGCGAGTTTCATCGAGTTTCTTCTTCAAATTCTTTTACAGTCGAACTATACAATTCTTGCGGATTGAATGAATCACCTAGTGCACTTCACAATCGTTCACAATCAATTTCGTTAACGAGAATTTACGAAATTCGACTTGATTCAACACTAAAACTTGTAGTTCAATTGTTTAGTATCGAAAACATCGTTGAATCAATTAACAAACTTAAATTTGTATAAGAAAAAAGATCTACATAATTATTTTCTTAATATTTAATAAAAACACACTTGTCTCTACTACTGAGATCATCAATTACGTTCTTTAACAAAAATAGTAATTTTTGATTGATTACTTGATGCGTTCAGATAACCGGCCTTTCTATTACAAGTGCTAAACGCTTTACAAAACTTCTGACGAAGTTGCTCCCTGTAATATTGGAGACACTCGGTCGCCTCGAACTGATCTGAATTCGTATGCGTCGAAGACTGACTGCGATTTGTGGCTGGTTAGACCAATTCTCTAACGAAGGGTGTTTAATTTGACATGGGGATCCAGAGGATGGATCAGCTCCGCCCATCGTGGCTTCCCAGTGATACGTCGTTCGCGCGTTTCCAATGCGAGGGAGGCGTCGCGTTACCTATCCGGGACTCATGTTTTATTGCTGTTTACACATATGCTGTCCTAACACCCACGCCAGCAGTAAACGAGCCGATACGTAAACAAAGTTGCGGTAATTATACCGAAACCGTGCTGTTTCTTGGAACCGCTCTTGTCTTCCTCTTCTGTGCTCACCACCCTCTCGTCCACATTCGCAGACCGCGGTGACTTTGACTAGGGGGGAAAACCGTCGGGAGAGTCACCCCTTTTTCTAACGAAAATTTCGCGACTCACTTCCTGCTGGGTTGGAAATGCTTCTTTTTACCAGTTTTGTTTTCACTTTCTTCTTGCTGCTCTTATTACATTCCCGGTTATAATATCACGTTCTTGTTACTAAAATGAATCAACCGGGGGACAGACATCTCGGGTAAATCGAGGTTCAGCGGATAATCCAAATAACTAAGAGCATGTTCTTCTATATAAAATAATCGAGGTCCCACTGTGTATTCAGTATTTTCTTTAATTTTACGAAATTTCGATCCCTGAAAAATAAGGTAAAATATGATTTTTTTTGAATAATTCCGATGATTTTTAATGATCCATTAATTTCAAAATATTCCTTTCACTCCATTTCTAGCGAGACGAAGCCACAGCTACGAATGCAACCAAAGAAACGTTATTATTTGTTTATTCGCCGTTTCTGGTGCCGTCCTTCGAGCTTCGTTCCATCTTGAAATATTAGGAAACAAATCACTGTGGATTTGACGGCAGGAGGAACCGGCGGATTAGCGTATTCAAAGCTCCAAGTACTCCTTGGTTTCGTGTCTCGGGCATCTCCGGCATGTTCTTCGAAAACAGCCAGAATTGTCTTCGTCGCGTTAATCCTACGCCCCTATTTTCCATTCCTTAAATCATCCCGATCGTATAAGTAAAGAAAAACATTTACTGAAGTTGCGGCAGATGGTAAAAATAATTTTCGTCTGGAAGAAAGTAGATATATTCTCATTTCTTGTACTTAATACTGTTGTAGCTTTTTATAATTTGTAATTTTCAGTTTTATCGAAGAATGCTTTTAATTTCTAATTCAGTGTCTATTAGAATGTCAATAATGAACATGGTCAACCAGTATAATTGTTGTTATACACAGTTGTGTAATTGTATTATAAATAATGTTTGTAATGATAGTATATGAAACTTTTTGTTTGAAAATCTTTACTTAATTTCAAGTCAGTGACACATTTTACCTAAAATAAAAATATTGTATCAAAATGATTACGAATTTCTTTATGCATACATAATATTTGTAAGAATAAAAAAATATAAAAATTTCTTTCGGTATAAAGGATCTTTCAGTGGTCAGGAGAAAAGATTTTTTCCTATGTTTTATTTACAGGATCGAGCAACCGCAGAAGCCTTTCCTCTTCGTTGGCGAAACTGCCCCGCAAACGCAGACGGTCTTGTTTGCAGATCGTTTCATTTTACTACCCAGTATCCGCTTGAATCTAAACAATCGTTCCTTATTGACAAAATCGGCGGGCGTCTGCGGGTTAGCCAGTTTCGGATTGTTGCTTCTGCGACGTTTTACGAGTGTGGGAAAATTCACAGCGCGAACCAGAACCACATCGTTTCGGTAAACCGTTCCGCCTTGGGGCCCCAGCTAAATCGCAAAAAATAAACAAATCGCTCCTCATGACGGCGAATTTTCTCGGAAATAGCGAGCTATTTAACTGTCGTTGTATCAGAACTTAAAAGTGCATAACACGATCGAAAAGTTTGATGATCGAACCTTCTTTCTTTTCTTGGTTTAATGGTTTGTTCATAATTAACGTATTAAAGGTTGTGGACTTGAATTTCAATTGGAACAGTAAAGTACGTGACGAACTGCTTCTTAAAATTATTTATTCTCTTCTAATTTCCATTCATTAGACCATAGTGTCCATTTCATGCGCTTCACTTCTTAAAATGACTCTCTTGTTAGCTGGTAAACTTATTTAGTATCCACGCCATTGCTGCTGGATTATCCTTTGGTACCTTTACGACGAAATGATTCTTAAATAACACGACTTTTAAACCAAATATTAAATAATTGCATCCATATAGAATACTCGGTTAGAAAGGATGTTTTATAATATGCGAGGCCAATTTCAAAAGAAACGAATGACAGATTGCAAGACATGGTATATGGTTAAACAAATTATTTACCATGTGTCCGGCTCTGTTGATCCAATACATAGAAAAATTGCCATAAGATTTTACATAGCCTTCAATAATGCCCTTCACTACTAAGGCAGTTCTGGCAGAGCGGTGCCAGGAATTAGCGTTTTTCCACTGCATCTTCTCAACCCAACGTAGAGTGCCTGCATCGCGTTATATTTTAGTAGTTATCGGAAGATTATAGTTTCCCGAAAGCAATGTAAAATGATTGCAAAACAAGTTTCATAGCATTTCTTATAAAAAACAGATTTTACGTGAAATGTTTTTTTACAATTTCTTAGCACTCTATCACATTTTCATTATTTCATTATTAAATCAAAGAAGAAATATTAAGGTGATTATTTTAGGAATAAAATAAAAACATACCTGGAGTATCGACGATAAGATCCATATGACCACTGATCACCGCAACCTTTAGATTAGTTTCGTTCAATAAACTCTCCACTAGAAAAATAAATACAATATTAATCTATTAAAATATGCAAATGTCGCAATTTAGACAATACCTATATTGACAACAGGTTTCATGAAGTCTCCTGTTAATTTACTGAATACGAGATTAGATTGGGCGCCGTGACGAGAAGATAGTTGGAGAGCTTCTTTTACAGGACCGTTCATCAGTTTGTCTAAAGATGCGTCGCTGAAGACGGAGTATTCTAAAATAATCGAATAATCCTTAAAAATTGTTATCTCGAATAATCAATTCAAACTGTATTAATACTATTAGTACATATTATTATTAATTATATTATATAAGAAAATATAAATTTACCTTGAGCAAATGTTGGTTCCGATTTAAGTCTTTCCATGAGGGAAACCTTGTTACCAGGTTCCATTTTCGTTAGAATATTATAGAAATCGATATTATTAGTAACTTGAGCAATGACTCCTTCAGTATAGCTCCACAGTCTCGTTGCTGTTGCCCACTGCTTAGTATCTACGGCATTTTTCGTTTTTACAGCTGCTTCGTTGATCTTCTCATAACCAGCAGTGTCCACCATACCCTATAAAAATATTTGTCGCAGAAAATAGATAGTATATGAATAGTACGAGGACTGAAGATATAACTAATAAAATTGAAAGGAGATATCGTACTGTAGCAAGTAAAAAGGGCGCCCAAGTCATCACGGAATCAATGGGGGAGATCCAGGCATCACCAAGAGCAACACCCTTCAAGTTACTTTTGATAGTGCCCTTTTGTTGTGCCTGTAAAAAAAAAACAAAGTATTAATAAAAAAAAATATGTATGTATATTTGATTAAAATTAATATAAATATATGTATTTAAAATATATATATTTATATATTTTACTCACATATATTATATATATTATATTTAATATTATATATTATATTATTATGTATAATTATATATATAATATATATAATATATATATAAAATATAATATAGGAAGAAATTTGATTAAAATATGTTCTCTTACCCTGTACCAAGATAGGGCAAATTCTGCACCCATTTTTCCTCCATAAGATTCAGTGGTGATATATGTGGGTACGTTAGAGAATGCCGGTAGCTGTTTTAAGAAACCTTTTACACATTCCAAGAGATCGTTTGCGATCTCTGTATTCGTCGTAGTATATCCTGCTTGTGTAGTGATATAACTGAAACCGGTGCCGACTGGGTTGTCAATGAAAAGAACGTTGTAATTTTTCACCTGTGAATGTTTTAATATTTATTTAGAATATTTGCATGTACATATTTCATTACTACTTGTTTTAAGGAATTGTTTGAAATGTACGTGTTAATGATCTTTTTATAACTTTTTAGTGAGTTTTTGTGGGAAAAATATTGATCTTTAATAAACTTTGATCAAGATTACTATGATTTTCCAAATTTAAAAATATAAAGAAAGTATGCATATATGTACTTATATTAATTAGTTTCAATATTTAATTAGAACATTTCGAACTGTAATCAATTTCTTTTCACTCATAACTAAATCGTGAAACTGAACATCTATATTATCTACATTTAATTTCAGTTGATGAACTTCGAAATTTAATGTCTTATCTACACTAAAAAATTTGTTTAGAAACGCGTGAAATTAATTTCAGATACAAGAAAAAGAGATTCTTATCAATAAGATTCAAGTCATGTTAAATTGAGTTGATATTATAATACCCAAGTGAAATTCCTTGGCTTCAAGTCAATGTCCAAAGGTCCAAGTTCCTCAAAGTTCCCGTAGGAAGTGGAGGATGCTCCGGGTCCACCTTGCAGCCAGATGACCAATGGTTTTTCATAGTAAGAAGACACGTTCGCGGTGGTAAAATAAAGCCACCAAAACATGTGTGCAGTTGACCGTACTTTCACGTATCCCCATTCTTGTTCTCCAGGACCAAATCCTTTTTTTGCTGCCAAGTAGGAATACTGTTTGATTATAAGTGTGATCTTCCGTAAGTTTGCATAACTTTTTCTGTGACTTTTAGCGACTTTATAATTTCCACTTAAAGTTCGTGTTAATAGACTGACGTTACTAAAATTGCTGAAAGTGGTCATGCTTCAAAGAGAAATGCTATATTACAAAATGGTATGTGGAATGTAATGTTAATTCTTTTCTTCTTTTTTTTTTTCTCCATTATCGAAGAATATTTTAATTTTATTACAATGGCTGAAGAATTATGATGCAAAGAGATGCAAAAACGAGCAGCTTTAAGCAATGCAGGCTTTAAATTGATTATATATTCGTAGAGATTCTTCCGCAAAGCAAATGAATTGGTATAGCTATTAACACTTTTTCTTTTCCTTTTATCCATTGGCAAGTAGAAGGTTAATGGTGTTTAATTATTCAAAAAAGTATTTGAAACAACTGTGTCTTATTAGGCTTATAATTAGGGAAGATCAAGCTTGAAAATAATAATTTCATGAAACAAGAATTTAAGATTTAGAATCCTATTGTTGAAGAAATCTGGCAAATAAGATATATTTATGTTTACACATATAACAATACATCTAGCACTTATTTGTATTATAAATACTTACCAAGGGATTCAGAAGCGAAGCACAGTGCCACTAACAGGAGTATCGAGAATTTCGTCATTGTTGCTTGAATAACAGACAATTAAAGACTAAACATTTTGAACGTATATAAATCCAGACAGGATGGTCTTATCTGTCATTAGCGGCCGATTGATTAGATATACGGGAAATGATTAATTCTATCGTTCGAGGTTTCGCCATATTTCGTTGTATCAATCAGCTGCAATTAAACAATGGATGATTTCTTATTAATGGTCTTTTATTAATTCCTTCCACTTGAAGGATTTTGATAAAATGATTACCGTCTTCCTCAGGTAATCGCACTAAACTCATCAGCAACTCACATGCGTATAAATACCTTGTCTTACGTGTCATTAGCTAGTTTCCCGTTAGTTGATCGAATTGTCCGTACGAAACTCTTCAGTTATTATTCGGAATTTTAAGCTGGTTTTCAGAAACAACTTAAAAATAATGACGATAAAAAAAAAAGAAAATAGGGACGAGCACCGCTTTCACAAATGAAATGCAAATAACAGTTATTCTGTACGTACCAGTTCCGCATAACAGGTTTTACACTTTTCTGACTTTTTAAAGTAATTTCCTTTTAACGTTTTTTTTTTTTCAACAGCTCTTATATTTCTCCTCGATATTTCTTGAAACGTAGTTTTATATTATATTTATAAAATATTTCAGCTGACTTATTCGTTTGTTAAGAAATCGGTCAATTATATCAATTGATCTGATAATTTATATTTAACATCTTTCCGATTTCTTTTTATCAACGTGACAGATTAAGAAATTGTTAATCTTCTATTTCGCATGAACGAAATGGATCGAATATTGTGTTTGATAGATTAGCTGCAACTGTGTGAATGATCATTTTGAAATCAGATTGTCTCGTCGATGATTGAGTTTGCAGAGAATTTCCAAAAAAAAAACAACTTGAAAAACTGATCTGTTCCTCAGTTTCAATGGCATTGATGTAACTTGTAGCACTTGTAGCTATGTATTGGAGATATATGGAACAGGAACTACGGCTGGTTTCTGTGCCAACGCTCCAGAATGTGGACCTAGACACGAAATCTTATGAAAACACGCATTTATCGATGTAAGCTATCGGATATTTCATTAGCTGTCAAAAATCTTGCATTATTTATGAAACTTGTTCTCTCTCCGGACGATGCTTTCGGTATAAATACGAATGGAATTCTTGAAATTTCTTTAGGCATATTGGGACTATTTTTATGCGTGTTTATCTACGATAAAATTGCATCTTTATTATTGCATTATTATTTTACTAAATATATCATTATTCGCTGTGGTATTTAATTGTGTATTATAGTATCAAGATTTTTCTGAAGAATTTCTTTAGTCTTTGTTATTAAGGTTCTTCCATATTCAAAGTGAAAAAAATATTCCTGTTGTTTTACATCTCAAAGAAAATTCAAAGAAAAGTCAAAAACGAAGAAAATTCCTTATACGCGAAGCGCAGAAAAGAAGAAAGACAATATTATACATAAAAAATAAATTAAGAGATAAAACATGTAAATTAAGAGATAAATATAATCCATAATCAATGTATATCCTGTACCTTGACAAACAAATTATTCTATTTTCTTCATTTGCATATTAACTTTCAACGATTTCAACATCGCGAAATATTTTCACTTTATCATAATCTCGACAGCCTTTCTCGCAAAACTTTTTTTAAAGCTACGACTTTTTTAAAAGTCACAACCAGACAGGCCAGGAAAGTAAATCAGACAAACCAATTAACACGTTCATCTCGGCCGCAGTGAAATTTCCTTTTCGTTTCCGTCTTCGAAACATTCTCTTTCCTCATTCTTTTTATGCTTGGACCACAATTTTTTTATTCACCTCTGTTGCTAGGTCTGGATCTTATCTGCATAACACGGAAAAGAAAGAATATACTAAGAAATTAGAAGAAGAATGGAGATAAACAGCGAAGCTTAATTAACAAAATAATACTCAATGTGATCTCTGCTTCCAATATCAATAAAATTTACATAATCTTCTTTCTCTGATCACTTTATTCTCCGGTATGTATATATAACACATATGAATAAGAAGAAAGAAAATACTATAGAGAATTTCGGTGAGCGAGAAGTGAATATGCAGGTAATAAAATAGCGAACAATAAGTTTGAGTAACACAGAGATTAACGAACGCAGCTTAGTTGAACAAACCTTATTTCGATGAATAAAGAAACAAAACGATAAGATGGGAAATAGCTACCGTAAAACATTAAACACACGTGTGGTTATTATTTCCTATCGATGATCGTTGCCTTCGGTTATCCTTGATCCCTCTTGAAAAGAGAAATCGCGGTTGACTGCTCGATTCACAGAAAAAAGTCCACAATTGCAGGTTCTATGCAAAATTTCGCAAAATTTCTCGATGACCACTGCCATTTCCTTGATGCATCTATAACATGGAAAATTGTCGAAAGTATTGCAAACATACTTATTCTCCTTACCTATTAGAGACTTTTCTTTCTTATTTCTTTTTTTTTTTTTTTTGCTTAAATATTTACCTGGCATCTTGTGACTTCTGTTGGAATGTAAGAGTCTTGAGATGTACACGCAGATATCTACTGTTTTACATCACGGACGATATGTGCATATGTAACGTGTTACACAATTTGTTGCGTTACGAAGTCAAAGAAATGAGGCACGTCGCATTGTCGTTACAGGAATCCTAGTCACGAACTAGGTTTCGAACCGCTTCGGAATGCAATCTTCCTTCCTTATTTCGTTAATCGTGAGGGTTTAATCGGATGGATGGTCAATCTGAGATTTCGAACAGTTCTTCTTTGTCTTGAATGCTTTTAGTTATTATCATTTTCTGATCTTCTGATCATTTAATACAGATATAATTCATATAATTGTCGATAAAAATAAAATTATATGTCGTAAAGTATAATATATGCTTTGTTTTTGGATTTCTTCGTAATGAAGCGATCAAAAAACGGTAAGACTCGATAAAAAGTGCTCAATAAACAAGGGAGGTAAACAAAACAAATTACATTTCCATTTATTGTGTTTCACTTGGTCCTCCTCGAGACTAGAGAAACATTTCTTAATCGCAATAACGAATGCTCAAGTGATGACGCTGTCACTTTCTCCCTCGTAACTATTTTTCACTTTCGGAGTGCGTACGCGCTTGATAGGGAGCATTTCTCCGTCATTAAACATCAATTTACTTCAATTTGTTCGAAGCAACAGTTACGCGATCGATTATAATTAATCCTGCTCGTTATGATCGAGTCTTTTCAAGAGAAAATTATCAATGTTGCACTTTATCGTAGTACTCGAACCTCTCCACTTTGATGACATTTAATTTGATTGATCAACTTCATCAAGAGATAATGATTAATCTTATAATTGAATTGAGTTGTTTCGATTTTTCGTCTATTCTAGATACAGATTGATTATCATCGCCCATTAACTTGAAATATTGTTATTAGAAAATGACATTGTCGATTATCTGTAATCTATAGTGTGTGTCTTCTTAATTGAAAACAATTCGCAGACCTTACAATCTAAAAAAAATAATTATTCTTATGAGAAGAGAAGAATGTACGGTATAATATTTTCATATAATTAAATTAATTCCATTTTTATGAAATAGTATATAATTAATTCCATTTCCATATATGAAATAGTATATTTGATATGTAATAGTATATTTTATATATATGAAATAGTATATTAGTAATTAAATCGACATAATTTTTTTAAAATATTATACTTTGATGGAAATGCCGTTTTTGTGTCTAATCACCGTTGCGATCAAATAGGAGCTCTCACGAATACAGATGATTAACTTCTACCTGGAGAAGACAAGTAAATTATTCTGTTGCGATGCGTAATTTTATTAAAAATACTGTTTTATGAATTTTTGTCTAAAATTAAATGTAGTTATTTTAATTTAAAGTTTACTTAAATTTTATTTAAAATGTTACATTCTATTCTCAATGTATTAATTTCATATTATCTAATTTTATCAGATTGTTACTCAATTTATTATCTAAAAATAATAAAGAAGAGAATAAGTTAAAGAAGTGAACCATCAATCGACAATAATATGTAATAAATAATGCGTAAATAGTACTTCCAATAAAGAAGACGTGCATGTATTATTCAAATCATGGCTATGGCTGAGCTTCCAAATTGAAAGTAATTATCATTATATAAGCCTCTTCCGGATTCTCTTCAGGAAGGCGCAGTTTCATGGAGATTTTATGTCGATGTTGAACAAAAAATCGGCAGCTTACGTAACCCGTATCATTGCCTATTATATCGTGAAAGTTCCTCGGACAATCTAAAAAAGAAGAAGAAAGTGAAGAAATGGCCTGTATAATAAAAGTTGCATTTATAAAAGTTTCTCTTGCTCACGTTCTTAAAAATTGATGTCATATTTTGAATTTCATTAATTTTTAAGATATAGAAAGAAGTTATGGGAAATAATAATTGATTGAATGAATTATAATATGGCAAATAAAGGGTCCACAATTTTTATAGATCTAGTATTATCTGTTTCAATTCGTACCGTCCGTTTTGAATGTCCGATAATAAGGAATCAATGACAAAACCAATTACATATTAACGCTGAGTATACAATTAAAAAAAATCAATTAAATTATAAACGTTCCGTTTGGATAAGTTCAGGTAATAAAGATAATGGAAATAATAGCCGGCAGGATATGCCGATCATGATAGCGAGGAAAAAAGCGATAATGAGGGACGAGTGTCGATTGACGAGAATATTTTCCTGAACAGTAGTCTCTCAACGTAAAAGTCGATTCTTTCAGATGTGAATTAAGGGTGAGAGCAAGGGCAATTGATGATATTGTATGTATATGCAGAAGAAAATTAATTGTATAATCGCACGGTATGTGAAGATATTTCTAATTATTTCGTTGATCATTTCGAGAGATTTATCGTTTTAAATTATTTTTCATTTTCATTTTTAACGCATCTGTGGTTGATCCATTGGAGTCTGAAATTGAATTAATTGTAAGTACAATTTTAGTGATGACATTTGAGAAATATTACTTAATTTCAATATTTATATATATTTATTTTTTAAAATATCATTATAGAATTGTATTTTTTAAAATATAATTATGACTAGATTGAAATACCCAAATTAAGATAATGCGATCGCTAAAGAAGATATCGAAATCTTACACTTGGACATTTCCTCGTTTGTAGCTCACATACGAGTACTTCACTATGAGATTTCGAAAAGTATTCCACTTGCGTATTTTCGTAATATTCGAGAGAGAATTCGGTTTTTCTTTATTCAACGCAACAAGTGTATCTGTCAAATGTTTGTCTTCCCTTTGGTTTTAAAACCCAGTGGACTTATTTATCTACTTCAGGAAAGTGTACAATATATGTACGTATGTATATTCTTTAAAAATTCGGAAAATTTAGGAAATCGCAGCAACTTTCTAAAATAAAAAAATTAAAATTTAAGTCTTTAATTTTAAACAAAAATCTATATTTGAAATAAAAATTCTCAAATTAAAATGTATATTTTCAAATCAAAATTCTTAAATTTTCATACGTGATATTTGCTGCAATCGCCAATTTTAAATATCGAATTTGTAATTTGAGGAAAATCAAAGTGAAAATGCTATATTACTTTGATTCAATTGTCTTGCAGCTCACGTGAACTCTTATGTATTCGAATAAATCTAAAATCACAATACGTGCGACTTGCGTGTATTTGTCGCGTGCAAAATAGCATCGTGAGTTTCTAACATGGTTTTCGGCCATTGAATTCCCAGATATTTGCAACAATTATATAACATATTGCAAATGTAACTTTCTTTTTCTAATTGTAATAAAGCGTATTCTTTGATCAAACTATTGCTGTTCTGAATATTAAAATCTAATTAAAATATTGTTGTACATTTTTATATTTAAATATATTTTGCAATTCATTGGTTTTGAAATTTAATATTCCTTAAATTAGAATAAACAGATGTTAGTTGATTAAATAGAAGTATCTATTTCATAAAACTTACTTGAGGTCAAATGCATAACGTGAATAACTTAATAACGTTTAAATTAATTTTCAATTCTAAATTCAGTGATAAACATGGAACGTTCTGTATGGGATTTGTAAACTTTGACAAACTTGTAAAGAGGGTACATCAACAGTTCGATCGAATTCTCGAAAACATGAAACAGCGTCGGTCGTGTATTTTCGGCGAATTTTAATGACTTGTTAGTTTATCCTCGCAGACGAATGGCGTGAAACAGATTGGTACCTTTTATTTCCACAGACACGCCTACAAAGAAACAAAAGTTTTCACTGGCTTCCTACCGTTTTGTTATGTGTAACAAACAATACATCGTCTATGTTAAAACGTGACGAAAGTATTTTTACAAATAGTGTTCACTGGATATACAATAAACATGACGCAAAAACGTTACATTTGCAAATATATTGCTATTAAAATTCGTAGGTATAATAATTTACATAGCAATTATATTTGATTATGTTATATTCAAGACTATCATTAACAAAAAGGAACATTGTTAGCTGCGTCAAAAGTGGTATAAACCGGAAGATGTGTCACCGTATCTTTTTCTTGTTAATGACCACTTTAATATCTTTAGCTAGAATAGCTGGCTTGACCGTTGTAGCTCGCTTTATCAATATAGAGATCATACAATAAAACTTGGTGTGATGCGATCGTCTTGCCGGAAGATAATTGAGTCTTTCACGTCTCGCATTAATGAGACGTATTTAAACAGCTAGAGAAGAACATTACTTTCATTCGCACACATGTCTTACCGTTCTTCACACGTTCTGCAAATTAATCTGAGATCAGTAATTTTCTCTCGTATTCAAGTTGCTCATTCCTTTGTATTTAGTTCTGTCTTTTTAGCCATTAAAAATTAGACAACTTTCTCTCGTATCTTTCCGTCCAGATTAAGATTAATTTCCATGTAAAAATCAAATTATTGTTACATTGAAAATCAATTAAAAACGTATAATAATAATTAATGAGAAGTTTTTGCTATATTGCTAATTAATGAAAATACTATCATTGCTGTCAGCAATCAAAAAATGTTTTCACTTATTGCCAATAATATTTCCAACAAAAAACAATTTTCGTCGTTACTAGCAATTAAAAAAATTATTACTGATAATGATTTAATTAATATATTAATTATAATTAATTCAAATCAGACTGCGGATTTTTGTATATTTATACGAAACATGCACAAAATACACACATTATATGCAAAAAAATTCTTTTCGTTAGAAATATGAATTCACATACATAGAAATCCGCAGTCTAGTTACAAGTACCTTCGATTGTTAGATCATTAAAAGACTGAACTGATATAAAACAAAAATAACTTTTACAAACACGTTTTTTAAATTTTTATTATTATTCAAAAAAAGAAAATAAAAAAGATTGAAAATGAACAAGTTATGACTTTTTCAAACACTTCAGTTTTTCAGTGGCCACTCTGTACTACTATTGTTAATTGTACTATGCGATTTCTATGTGGAAGAATTATGAAAGACGAAGAAACTAACCTCTCACACATGGAAATGTCAAAATTATTCTTATGAATAATAACAAAGGATTCATGAAGTGTAATTTAGAAGATCACTGGCAAAGGCAGTCAGGAAAAGACAAAAAGTAGAGGAGTCACGCAATCAGCGATATCCGTGT